AGCACAAATCGCTAGACATGGGAAAGAAGTTAGGAGTTTTAACGCTCACTGAAGCCTCGAGAGAATCTCAAGAACTAGATGCGACAGGCTGAAAAAATTTCAGTTTGCTGTACGTTTTTGAAATATATTGGATATTAGGCAGATCGTGGTTGTGAAGCCGTCAAGTTGAAGGTCATAGCGTTGAGCTGTTTAGTTGTGTTCGGGTACTCTCTACATTCTCACTCATAAAGGTTTGAAGTCAAATTATTCTAATATATGAACTCGATTATTTTTGGTCTATTGAATTGCAAAACAACGTCACCAGTGTGTGTATGACAATGACAGCATTTTCCACGTGTATACACTGGTGTACCACGTGTTATAACACAGAGTGAACCCACCCCTCCGGCAACATCGGTTTGGTTTTAAATCCACAAGTCACCTATAGTCTACAAGTTTCGTAAATGTGTGACTGGGGATCTGAGCGAACTACTGTGCGCTTACATTGCATCCGGAATACACTTTTGGATGCAATCTACAATTATAATTCCAGCATACTGGGTATAGTTCTACAATTAAAATATATGGCTGTACTTTAGAACTTGCCTTTGTTTTCCTGAAAAGCCAGAAATAGTATTTTTGGGACCTCAGGAGTTCAAGTTCCAGCATTCTCAAGGTTTACCTAGAAACGTCGGAGGTTACAAACTGCCCAAATCTTTAACTTGGAACTATAGGGTGTAACCAGAAATTGGAAAGTGCATCCAAAATGTTTTCCAGCTGGGATAATTTTGAAATTTCATGTTCTAAACAAATTGAACGATCTTTCTTATGCTTACACATGTTGAAATACATCCTTTACTTAGAATCGTCATTATTCTTGCCCCATTTTGTGTAAGCCTGGAAGGACACATAGCTTAGTATTAATCAGCTGTCTTTGGACAGTGCTATTATCTGAGGTCTGTAAAACAACGGGGAGCCTTCTGAGTACAGCTCAACCTAGTTTTTGTGTTTCCTCTCCTTATTCACCTTTATCTACTTTGATTTCAGTCTTTCCTACCCACCTGTTTTTTGTATACTACAGCGAGATGTGACATCTTCAACCGATGCACCTGTTTGCGAGGTTACTGGTCGATTTTGTCTGTTTGTTTGTCTTTCTGTTGTGCACCTGTAACAGGAATCTAGGGTGTCTCACCTCATTTCAGGAGTATAAGGGGAAGAGACTGTGGTATCTACAAGAAGGGAACCTCACAGTTCGTAGATCCTATCTGCCAATGAGGTAGCAGGGATCATCATTTGCCTCGTCTCTTGCTGTACTCTAAAAGCATGACTTAAGGTAAGGTTTCTGATTGGAGCGTAAGGTACTTCTGTTAGGATTAATATTATAATATTATATATATATATATATATATATATATTATATATATTATATATATAATATAATATTATTACAACCAGGCAGGAACTCCCACAATATTTCATACCACGCCAGATAATATCTTTGATGCTGATTTAGAGAGGAAATTCCTTAGGCTTCTAGCAAACGACAAGTGTAAAAGATGACTCCTCTCCTTGCTCTCTCATTTCCATATCTGCGGATTGGGTGGAAACCTCCAAGATGAGTCCCATTGTCTTTTACATCCTCCACGAACCACGCTTCACTGGTGGCCACTATGCTTAGACGATCCTCTTCAACTACTGACTTCATCGTAGGTATCCCGGAGCGCAAAGCGCACACAGCTATAGATACAGCGAATAAGAATCTGGAAACCTGGAGTCTGGACTGTGGGTTGGGTCAATCAAGTTATTTCACCTGTCTCTAACAAGTCGGCTTTGTCAAGTTTCTTAACAATGAGGAATCAGAATTGGTAATAATCACTATTAAACAGCCCGAATTGTGTTCAGAAAAAACATGTTGCCGCCACAACTACCTTGGCCTCGCTCAGTACAAACAAACTCTCAAGTTTCCTACCATATGCAACCTAATTTTCTAATTCCACAATGCAAATATTTCCTTATCCCCGTAGTCTGAAGTAATCTCACTAGATTTTTTAACCTACGTTTTGTTCCTTAACAAAAGTAACATTTTAATAAACTAGTGTTCTTTATTGCATCCTACTTTCATGCAAACCCACCTATTATTTTTATAAGACTGTCTATTTTTCCGACTTTGCATTCGCGCTCCACCGCATTTCATTTCTCGGTCTACATACGGTAGGCTTCACTTATATAAATTTCACCATCAAAGTTAATATGATTCATTTTCACCGTGTAGGGTTACATAATCTGTATAATCGTTTACACAATCAACTATTGTGAATTGAATTCCAGTAATAATTGACTCTAATTATTGTTCACACAAGACTTTTCTGGTTTCGTAAACAGTTTAATGTTACTAACAAACTATTGTGCGGAATCTCACTATTGTCCAGGCGTCTAGGCGTACAACTGTAGAACCTGACGAAGTTGTCGGAAAGGTTATTCCTCGTCCATTCAAATATCTTAAGAACTAAGAGCATTCAGACTCTCAAAACTGTACACCTGAAAATCAGTAAATTACTTTCGGTTCTAGGATACAGCAGAAGAAAGACATTTTCATCTCTCAACCATTCAGTCACTAGACGCGCGTTAGTCCAAGGTAAGTGCTTGAATCTTTTTTCAGTCTGCCTTTATCACCTATGCCTACATACGCCTACCTCAATATCCGTAGGGAAAACGTCCAGTGTATTCTACCATGTTTCTAGGGTTATCTGACGATATCCGGAGAATCAAGGGCAACCTCTAGGAATATGGGAGCACGGATGGTTATGAGGTTAAGAGGCCTTGGGAAGTGGATTTTCTGACTGTCATATCAACGACTTGCGATTTATCCACTGAGTATCTCCGCTGCTTTATGTTATGAATCATTTCAGGAGTCTCAGGTATTCCATGGAACATAACTGAGTAGCATAGATGCTTTAGGGTGGATTTTCGTGCTGTTGTGGAGAGGTTTCCTTACTGATCGAGGTCTGTCGAGTCTAAACCTAATGTCTGACCATTCGAGCTTTACTAGTTGTTGAGCTTTCAATAGCACGTATTCTAATTGAATGCATTTTTCCAGAGAGACCTTTAAGAGTCTTACAGGCTTTGTATCACCCTTGGTGACTGAAGTGAATTAAAAATGTGGTCAACAGTCGGACCTCGTAGCTCAGTTGGTAGAGCACAGGGCCGGTAACTCGGTGGTCGCTGGTTCGGATCCGGCCTCGGTCCAAATTTCCATTTCACCTTCAGTCATAACCCAGTGTAAATAAATAGGAGCCGGAAACAAGTCGACGGAAGGATTGTGTAAGTTTACAAAAAATAGATTCTCAAGACATGGGATAGTATGCTTAGCGTGTACGCTTCATGTTACATCTCTGTACTCATCTACTTCACACCCGGTAATTTACGGTGCCTTGAGTTCCCTACACATCTCAAAACACCAAGTAGCGTGATGGTCTTTAGTGTGTTAAACTAATATTAAAGGCAATTATCTATTTGCTGAGACCCTAGACGTCGAAGATGGTGACTAGCTATTCATTCACTCTAAAAATGAGATATACAAAGCCTGTAGTGGATTCAGGTAAATGGGTTTTGCATTCGCACATATATGGAATGACCAACAATTTTAATCCATTTTCTTTTCCAAACATTATACATTTTCGATGCATGGTGTGGTAGGAATTCTTGTTTGCTGTCATAAATTAGGCTGTCCATGATTCCCTTCTTTTCACCTTGTCGAATCACTCCTTTTTAATGGTTCTTTATCTCTCGTACTGCCAACTCATTATCAAAATTTTCGACTGCGTTCGATACTAACGGTCCAGTAGAGTCTTATGGCTTGCGGAAATTTATGCATCTACAACTTTCTCCGACCTCAACCATTATCGCATTTCGTGGCTGGTCTTAACCCCTCTTTCTCGCCACCTGTTTATTTCGATGCCTTTCACCTTGATATGTTGGTGCGGTGTAACAAACTAGATTGTTGCTTAGCAATTGTATATTCCATGCCAGTGTTGACTGTTTGAACCAACTTTCGACCAGCTGGTAGCAGATTCAAGCTCCACCGGCTGAGGTCGGGAAACCAGGTGATATCACCAACTTTTACGAAGCATGCAACTCATTTAATAATGTATGAGCCTGCTCGTGTTTACTGAACTAATGGTCTTCTAAGATTGTAAACTTAGTTTCCCAAAACCTTTCTGCTAATTGCCGCTCGGTATTTTCATTGTATGCATCCAGTGGAATAAAAAAGTTGATCAATAATCAACCGTGGGATAATGGATTATAGGTATAATTTTTTCTTGTTTTACTTTCAAGACACATTAGACCTCAATGTTGTCACTTCTTCACACTCATCCAGTGTATTTGTTCTACACTTGTTTATATTTCGAATGTTTGGAGTTAAGATTATCAGTTTCTGGTCTAACCTTAGTCTACAGCCATCGGCGTGATTCATGACGTAACGGTCTTGTGGTCATTTCTAACATTCATTGCGATTTAGACGGCATAGAATACGACTTTTAGGAAACCTGTCTAGTCTACTACATATCATAAAGCATGTATATTTGGTCGTCATAATAGGTGACTTCATATCTTGAGTAGAAAGATTGAGTCAAAAAGAATGTTAAGAAAATTTATTTCTTATTATTGGTGTCCTCACCTTAAACACAGGTGAAAGTGACCAATTCCCGCAATTTAGTATGTAAACCATATGCTTTTAGCCAGTACTCTCTTCAGGAACAATAAGAAAAGCTTCACCTTTCGGCTTCTGTTACTGACTATATGACACATTGTGTCTATATGTCACTTTTTATAGCACATACTTCAACTCCAGTCATGCATTTGTTCATGCCTAGTTAAGCACAGAACTCATAAAGCTGGAGAACCTTTCTGAGTTCAGGTGTCAGATGAAGGTGCCAGGAGTACCTTCAACAGCATATTGCTCTGTAGTTGTTAGAGCGTAACAACTTTACCTGTTTCAGAGTCATTTACATTCTGGTGTCAAAACAGCAGTTACGATAAAACTTAACACCCAACTCAAAGTTTTGAGCAATTTAGAATTCTGAAATCAAGTCTTTAAGTCGAATAGAAATCAATTCACTACATGAAGTCATCACGCGATATTGGTATTATTTGTTTCCTTATGTCCCAGCATTTTAAACATTGTTCACTATTCGCAGTTTGAATTGGCTTTAAGAAATAGTGAGGTGGTCATTCACTGATGTGTCGCTGCGGGATAGAGTGAAGGTACTGGGTTCGCATTTCCTGGTACACTACGACTATATGGATGAGGCGTAAAAGATCATACCGCTCAGTTACTCTAAACTTTGTCAGGTATGTCGGAAACATTAACCAGTCATGGTCAAACTGAGGCTTTCTTGATTCATTTGCTATCGTTAAGTAAAATCAAGATAATCAACCGTTGTTTTTTGGATAAACTTCATGAGAAAGTTTCTTTGGTCATTATGTTTTACTTTACCTCATTTCCTTTTAATTCTTCATAGGATTGTTGTATGGTTTTTTGTGGTACTTTCCTCATTGGCAAGTAATGCAACTCAATTTAGTGCTAGTCTACTAGCTGCACTCATTGTGTGAGGAATTATAATGCTTCCCATCGGCCCAGCCCAAAGTAGATGTATTTGAACCCTGAACGTATAGCTTAATATCTGAGTGTTTAAGCCGTATCCACTGAACGAAGACTGTGTTTTTTATAAACGACCTCATCCAAATACGCTTATTTCATAACTACTTTATGATTGGACATTCAGAATTTTAGTCCCCTCGATCTTTGTCAAGTAATTATCATGAATAGTATTTCGTAACTTTTAGATGGATTTCTTTCGCATTTCGTTATCAACAACATGAATCCAAGTTTCATTCGATCGCCTTACTAACTAATCTTGTAACCTATCAGCTATGTACCGAAGATTAATTTCAAGATGCAGAAACCCCGGGTTTTTCTTACAACAGTGTTTTTGTTCGCGTGTATCAGATTCTCCTAAAAAGTTACCAACATACAATGAGGTCAACATACTAATGATCCATCGTGACCTCCAGAGAATTCTGTTTAATTGTCAGAAATATGATTATCAAAAAGCTTCCGCTGAAATACTGAAAGAATTTCATCGTCTGGGAATTGATATCTCGTCTAATAAATGTGATACAGAACCACTTCGTTTCACTCTTCCTGAGCTCAATGGGAACAATGTTAAAGACCATTTAGATTCAATCGCCATGGAGCTTGCTCAGCCGTATATGAAGCTGTTGGAGAGTTTCATTTCTCCACCAGAACTTCCTAAAGTTTGGGATTTTTCTGCAGGATGGACAAAGTATGCATATTGGTAAACTTATTATTGCTGCATCAAAGATACGTCGGTGATGAAGCATATCCTGTAGATGTACCTCATGAAGATGCTCTTATTTTTGACACTGAAGTTCTTGTCAATGAAGGCCATGCTCCGACAATGGCAGTGGCTCTCACAACAGAAGGATGGTAGGTTTTGGATCTTATTTTTCAAGTTTCTAGGTATTCATGGACTTCCAAACGTCTTTCGTGTTATGATGACTATCATCAAAATGATAGTCATAACTCCTTTAATTCTCTAATCCCTATTTATGGTTCAAGAAATAAAAATATTTCAAAGTGCATAATCGGACATTTTGTTAGTTATGATCGCGCTCGAATATCTGAAGAATATCTTTTGGATGTATGTGCGATTGATTTTTTATTTCCAAATCATTAGGGAACAGGAATTCGTTTTGTGGATACACTTTCTCTGCATGTCGCTGTATCTGGTCTAACAAGTACTCAACGGTTCCTGAAGACATCCGCGGACAAACATCTGTTTAACAATAAGACATGGCAAGAATTTATGGGAAGACGAACTGATAACCAAACACTGGATTCAAAATCAGATTCAGAAGCTTTTGTTATGGTTAGTGTGATATTGTACTTTATGTCTACCTTTCAGTGTCATACTTACGCTTCATCTAATCACATGCCAATTCTAGTTAGTTACTTAAGTTTTGTGCTTAGTTTATTTTTCAGGCTCATGGGATTAACACTTAAGTAGGTTTTCACCTTATCATAGAAATAATCTATGATGGAACATTGAGTCCTGAGATTGTAGATTACGTGCCTCTAATTTACACAGAAAATTTATACCAATCAGTAGCACTGGCTAGCTAAATTAGGTTAATTGGCTTAAGGTCGAGTTCGTTAATAGTGTATCCAGACCCCTTCGGCAGAGAATACTGGTTTCTTTCACAATATAAGCTCACATAGGTCTAACCAGCTAACATCACTAACTATTATTACATAGGATGCAGATAAAACCTTATTCTCGGCGGTTAATGGAGTTACCCAATATTCATTTTAGCCTTCGAATGCAAGTATTTTAGAACTAGTTTAAAGCGAAATATATGATGAAATAGATTAACGTTATTTAAGATTCCCTTTCTGTTGAAAAGTTAGTTTGATAAATAATTTATTTCAGTGACCAAGTGTTCACATCATTGTCATATGTTATTACTAAACTACTTAGGTGTTGTCTGACCCTCTGTGAACCCAGTTACCAATAACGTGTAAATGCGGCACTAAGTGTTATGATGTGAAGGTGCCATTGCAGATATGGTTCACTAATGAATGCAGATAAGCACGAAAAATAAATCCGAGGGTTTTGGTTGATTGTTTTAGTTAACTCGAAGGTATCGAGTTTGTAATTGACTTCAATTAATCTCTGCAAAGTAAAAGAATATGCATGTATTCAAAATCAGTAATCACGACTGGTCTGGAGCTGTGGTTCATTGGTTCAGGGAGACGACTTTCAATCGATGAGTCAGTGGTTCAAGCCTCGCTTCACCTACTGAGGTTTAGGCAGCCGGGTAGTATCACTAGCCCTCACACATCAGATGTGGCTCATTGGCTACTGCACGAATGTACACAAGGTTGTTGGGGGATCCGTATTTTCCGACCGCTTTGATACATTGTGTTAGCTAAGCGTTCTCTTAGCTTGTGTGTTACATAGAAATATTTTCAAACGAAGCGTCGGGAATTGACTGATTCAGCGGAAAATTATAATGAGGTGAAGTACATATGACAGGATTTCATGAATACTTACTATCAAAAGTGCTGATGAATTCAAGTGGATGAAAATTTACATCGTTTTGGGGTAAAATTTAATGTATCAATCCAATTTAAAGAGATGACAAAACAGTAGAGTTATTTGTGTGTATCTAATTAAAACAACTATTCGAAATTGTTATCATGATCGAATGTTTTCATCAGAGACATTTATTCTCCCTTTGTAAATTCACCCAACCGGACTTATCACTCTTCGTCATTTTCAATTTCTGTCACACAACTTTGTATACTGGTGTGAAGTGTAGCAACTTGAACCCGGTGCACTTGTGTGCGAGGTCCTACGTTGACTTTATCTGCATTCGTGGACTCATTGAGACTGAAACAATACGGTCATATCTTCAAACAGTAGAGGTTTATCCAGTTTGAAAGTGGTTTGATAATCTAACTTATTTCTTATAATCAATCAAATGTATGATTCGATTTTCATTGACTTTGGTTTTGAATAAAAGGATCTCGAATGGCTTTCAGAAACTAGCTTAAACAGTTTGACCGATGTTTATCGGTTATATTGTAAAAAGGAACCACCACAGGATAAACAATTGAGATCAGTTTTCGAATCTGGGTCGATTGAAGATGTTCGCTCAAATATTCAGGTAATTAATTGTAGTTTTTTCATAATTTTATGATAGTCTTCATTCTTATTTATGATCCTGTTAAAGCGAGGTATCATTCATCAACTCTTGTCTGCTCTTTTGCCAGGGCGAGATGTTGATTGACCTGCAGTATTTTTGTGGAAGTGTCATTAATGTTAGACTGTTTCTACACACTATACGGCTTACAATTCATTTATTTCTTACTGAATAGTAGGCCGAGTGTCTTGATAGCTTACTTTCTTTACAGTAAATATTTGATCCTCAAAATAGACATCGAAGTCAATGCCAACTCATTTTGGTCGCTTACTTCAGCTATGAATAAGTTCGTGTTAAGCATTTCAGGGAAAATTTGAATCGAGTAAAAACGGCAAGATGTGTAGAATATAATGAATCATTTGACTGTACGTCTTCTGACCAACTGTAAAATGCTTGAAATTACATTGGCTGTTAGAGTGTATCATAGAACAATAACTACTTTTGTCTCATCTCTAATGCATAAGCTGTTCTTACTCAACCACGGATTAATTCTCGTCTCTTGGCCATCAGCTCGTTCATGTGTTACATAACCTCCTAATGTCACTACCTCATTTTTCACATTTCTTTTTCTTGTTTTACAACTTTCCAGTTTTTCGTGTAAACGCAAATTAATGCGACTTTAAAATCTTTGAGTGACTGATTATCTACCTCAATAGTATTTGGTCAGTCTATGATATGTTGGCGATGGTGTTTTGCTAGAGAAAGACACTATAAAGTTATATCGTTTCCTTGATATCTTGGGGAAAAGCCTAAGTTTTAAAAAAAAATGCATTTTAAACCTGCCTAATGGAAAGCGATGCCTCAGAATTAACTTACATTGTCATGTAGATTAAGGATAAGGAGTGAAGTGGTTGGTTGTGAAACTGGGTTAGAGGCTGAAGACGCCTCGTCACAGATACGTAAGACTCGTCTAGTATTTTACAACTTGCATCATCTATAGGACTGCCGAAACACAGTTACCTATCAGATGGTGAATATACCACTCAGTATCCCTTGTTGCCACACTATGCAGCTATCATACTACCATATATGTTCGTTGAAGGCAGTGTTCTCATTATATTTTTCTTAATAGCATCCTCGGATGTGGTAGAGATTTAGAGTGAGCAAGGGAAGTCAATCACCCGATGAAGCTGTAAACATTCACCGATTAGTCGGCCTAAAATGTGTTACATCTGTCGAACCACTGTTTACCGGAAAGTGCTATTTTAGCCTAAGTATGACTTAGTCAAGTAAGAAGCTAAAGATAACCAAGCCAAGATAATGCTATCAATTCCTGAAGTCATTTATTGTTGATACGATCTATGTAGAAAGGCATGGTGTACCTGGTCAGGGTTGTTGAAGTGTTTGGAATCAATGGACGAAGCATAATGATGATATGGCTGAATTTCAGTCACAGCGGTGAAGATGGATTTCTTCTTTACCATCGAAGCTAAAAATCTCATGTCGTATTCTTGTTTATTTGAACATCCTTTTGTGACGTTATTAGGCATCACACTATACGTTAATTTGTTGATCTGTCGATCTGACAAGCAGTTAAACAGCATTAATCAAACATTGAGCGTAAACGTTTTGTGTATATGGGGATGCAACTGTTAGTAGTTAGTAGTCAGTCTTCTCGGTACACATAATGTTCGATGTGGTTGAAATTATAATTGACTTGGTTGTGGCTAGGAGTTGACTGCGTGACTGGAAGCGTATGGGCGGTCGACACTTCCTGGCTCCCCCTTACCATGGAAGGCTGTTTCTTCATAAGGTATCTAAAAGATAAAAGGATTCGTGTGACTGCGGGACCCATGGGACATCTCCTTGAGAGTTTCCACATACGGCCTTTTGTGGATTGTTATTTTGAGGTTCAGTTGTTCTGACGCCGGATAGAGAGAACCCAGACCACCGGCACCAGCAGTCCGTGGGATAGGTCCAGTGTTTTATTTTTCGGACCGATTGTTTCTAACACCCCCCCCCCCCCCTGCTTATCATCCAGGGAGAACACCTTACTCCTGTCACACCCCATCCAACTAGCAGTGGTATCCAGGACGCGCTTTTCGTTCTATTTAAGACTCGTCATCCGGACATACCTGCACCCTAGTGAGTAATGTTGTTCCCATTGAGACTCAAAACTCGTATCCATCACTTCAGACGCCAAGACAACTGAGGCACGATAGGCACCTATTGTACAACAGGTATTATTATTATTATTTGTTGATATGATCGTAATTCTCCTTTGTTATACTGGATCGAATTGATCGACTTCTGTTGGCATATTGGCTCGTATGCTAGATGAAATTATACTATATATATATATATATATATATATATATATATATATATATATATAATGTTGTATGATATTATAATGTTGATAATGGACCATATTATGTTTTTATATTAACAAAACCATAGCGTTAATGAGATTTAAAGTTTACGTATGCACTATATTGAATTCAAAGTGCACAAGAATCATTTGTATATACTACTTATGGTTATCCACAAGGCCATCTAGGTGATTTTTCCTTAGATTTTCTACATTGCTCATTGGTCACCTATATTTACAACACACACACACACACACACACACACACACACACACACACACACTTTCAATCTGACCAAGCTAAGCATACTTTGATGTTTGATGGTTGTTTGTGATAAGACGATTGTATGCAAACACATGGTCATGAAGTTTGATGCAAGCCATACTAACTATTCAGAGGTTTTGTAACCTGTGAACAGTCACTGCTATAATATATTCCCTACCTAACTCTCTTACCTGTAATTCTTACACTAAATTTTTATTCATTTTTAGAGTTTATTCAGCTACTGTGCTACGGATGTTCTGATGACTTACGAAATATTGAAAATCTTATGGCCTATTTTTAAAGAAAGGTAAGCAATTTATCTTACTGTTGAATCAACTAGTTAGGAGGAAGCAATCGGCAGGAAACTATGGACTTAGGTTTCGTGTTTATCGGCACTCGTCAACGATGTGTATCTGCAACCTCTACGGAACTGGTGTCTCGCCTGAAGTCCGAACCCATATCATATAGCGCTGTAGTCAGGGACATCACCACTGAGATATTTGGGCCTTGACTGACTTCCTGTAGGCTTGGATTAGGTACATTGATTAGTCACTAGAGGATAACCAACTTCATATTGTCTATTGTGCTATTGTGCTGATCGAATTCTGTCAATCAGCTTTGAAGATGAGGCCACCAATCTCGTTAACTTAAAGTTACAATTCACTTTGGTAGATGTTAGTTGTATTTCTGTAGAATGAATGTTAATCAGCTGCTGTTTTCAAACTTGTTGTTTGTTTACTAGTATGTTAAACTATAAAGTGATGCAAAATTTTAACAGAAAATGTTGAACAAAACTGCCAAAAAACTATTTGTGAATAATCGTAACCTGATTTGGAGCTTAGGCTTCGTTGGATTACACCATTGAATATTGACCAGCTGGCTATAGGTTCGAATCCCTCACCACTCATTTGTGGTAGGGTAGTCGTGTGGTATTAATTACTGTTATATAGTAAGTATGGTTCACTGCGTCATACATAATGTTTACAGGGTTGTCGATTCGCAGCAACATAAATAGCTTAACTTACAGCAAATCATTTACATGCTTTCTTACTGATGTCATTTTTATCCCGTTGCTCAGTATGAAAACTTTTTCGGTGTTCAGGGTCATCGATAAACATCTAGTTAGAGTTGTTCTATGCACACCATTTAAAAGTTTGAAGACAACTAAATTCTTCTTGTCGATGAGTTAAAAAACGAGTTGTTGAATTATTGACCTTTATTCATTGTTGTGATATGCTTGCGTTTTAAGATATCATTTGGAATTTTGTAAATTTTACCAGGATTATGGTAGAGTGCTATTTTATACGTTCAGTGTAAGGATTATTTAATTCAGCCTAAAATATGCTTGTAATAGTATTTCTCAGCAAATCACTACATATCTATATACAAGGCTATGGAGCCATATTAATTGTATGATAAAGTGAGACGGGAGTGGTTATCGTCGATCAGATTTTGTTGTTCCCTCCAAGGTGGCCAAACTAGAACATTGGCATCACTGCATGAATTCCTTGACTGTTAGTTTAAGCCATATTAGGAGATGTAGACTAACCGGTTAGGGGTCTACATGATAACAGCGATGATATGACTGAGAATCGATGTCATGAACACAGATGTATCCATGTATTATCTTCATCTTTTACTGTTGTTGACTGATTCTTTCTTCATCTTTCATCTTATGGCTTTTTTTAATTGTCGTGTTGATATGATATGTGTTGTAGAAACTTGAACTGTTACACCGTATTTTGCCTGGTTTTATGTCGATATTGATTGGTTGTTCACTTAGTGGAGTGTTGGATTGGTTATCTGTAAATTGTTGGTTGGAGTTCTTATGATCTATCCTTTTATTCACGTATTAAACTAAAAGTTATATTTACAATTTAGTTCTTTATGCCTACAACATTCTAATATGTTCACCTGCTTTTTTATTTCAAGTAGTAATGTATTATTGGTTATCAGTTAGGTTTTTGTTTGTTTTCTTACAGATTTCCACATCCAGCTAGCTTCTATGGATTATTAGAGATGGGTAGTATGTACTTGCCAATTAATGATAATTGGATAAAATTTCAAAAGACAGCAGATTGTGCATATGAAGAGAATATATTAAGACAGAAAAAGTTATTAATGCAATTAGCTGATCAAGCTTTAGCTAAATATTCAGGTGACTGTAGTGAAGAGTGAGTTCTGTTTAATTTACTGAAAGATTTAATTTATTCCTTTAATCTAATATAGCGTTAATTTGTATATACATGGGTGTATATTGAGATAAAAAGGAGACCTTGAATTACAATATTGATTTAAGTAATGATGGATAGTGGCTGGTAATGGAATTCAGGATGCGCGTTTCCTCTTATTTGAGACTCATCAGCTGTATCTACCTGTCCCCTAGTGAACGATTTTATTCGAACTACGGCAACAACATGAATGATTTAAATACCTGGCATTTACGCTATCATCAGCCTACTGTTGTATTAACCTGACTGTAATATTGAAAGAAGCAAAAGACAGGTATGCAGAAAGGAATGTTTATTGTCAATAAGTGGGACAATAGTCGTCAACTGTGGTCCACCTTGCCTTAAAACCGTCATTTGCAAAATATGCTTCGTTTCCTCTTCTGCTTGTTTCTTGACTTGCTCTTCATACGCCTGCCTTGTCTCTTGCGTTTCTCTTTTAGCGGAATCCTTACCCATTGCTGGTAATTCCTTATGAATTGTGCCTCCCACTCAACATATACTAGTTATATTCATTCTTATCAGCAACGCCTACTACAATATAACTGAGAAGTGCACAGTTCGATTTGAATTGGGATGGGAAAAAATGATTGAGTAATTGACGTTCTCATGACAAATATGCAGACAACTGTAAATGCAGTGGAGTTGAAATGTGGTTAGCACCTGAGTTTCCTTGTTAGGTTGAAAAAGTTGCTTCAAATACTGCTGTCAACAGGCTATTAGTTAAATGTTTAATCATTATGTCGGTGATTAAATCTATTTGTTCAATGAATTTCAGCATTTTAAAGTCGTTTACATATTCATACATGCGGGTTGTAGCTGGTTTGTCAACCTTCACTTTATAAAAGCTGTCTAGTGAAAACCTATCCTTTTTTGTTTCGTCCAGTAATAGTTTTAAATTATTAGATGTTGACATTGGTTAGTTGTCGAGATAGTTTCGTACTAATCAAGGTTCTTACTACAGCGGTGTAAAATGCTGAAAATAGCATCAAGTGATGGGATTACTGCCATTTAGAACCCTTTACAACCCTTCAGAACCTAGTGGATGTATAGATATCAACTGTCAAAAATATAACTGAGCGTCGAACCGGGAATGTTTCTCCGGATGATAAATATGTTGATGACATAATTGTTGTGTTACAAGTCTAATGATGTGATTCGCCTATTAAAAAAACTGAATAAGATACGAAAGTAAGTTGGTTTCTGTGTATGAAGAAGAGATGTGAACAGAAAACTGGATTTCTAAACAAAGGGAGATTGTATGAATCGTAGGATCTATCTACAAGAAGTACGGTTAAACAGCACACTATCTCAGTTACCATAGCTACTGTTTAGCTCAATACAAAAGCGACTTAATCATATTTATTTTATCGGATTGATTGTATCCAAATAAAAAAAACTGGAACACTGGGAGATAATGGATTTATCAGCGAGTGCACAAGTTATTCAGGATTAATAACCAAAACAGGTCTGTATTATATCATCATTTAAGCATGGGTTGGATAGTTTTATTTTAAACAAGGCTCAATTCATTCATTAATAAAATGTACAACATAGAGAAAGTTATCAGTAGAAAAGCCAAATTTCACTCATCAATAAAAACCTGAACAAATAAGCGAACGCATCACACCCCATTGCGTTTACTAGAGGTATGTGTGTGTGTACATATCGAAGCACACATAAGGAAGTATGGTAGTAATATGCAGTTGAACTTTCGTGAATATGTGCTTACGTGGTTGTAATAAATAAATGAATCCTGTAACTATCACGATCAACATTTCATCTGATATAGTTACATAAGAAGAACAAGTATTTCAGAAGAGTCTTTTAGGTGGTTTCATTTCCAAAACTGCACAATCACAAATTTATACACATTTTTCTAGTGTTAAAAACGGTTTGTCAAGTATGGTAACATCAAATAATGTCAATAAATGAGTTGGTATTAAGATGAAAAAAAACTGAAAGCTGATGAGTAGTGAATATTAATCAAAATAAGTTTAGACAAGAAGTTTCGTAACATGACGACATACTCGGAAACTGCATTGTGATCAAGTAGAACATAGCAACAAGAATGAGTAGCAAATTACTTAAGAAGTGAATAATGTCAAAACAGAGAAACGAAAAGAAAAAAAGCGAGGGGTAGAGGAGGCTGTAAACTAAGACCATGAAACAAGAAGGGGTTGAACAATCTTCTTTTGCGTACACAGTTCAGGTTTCTCCATATGGATGATAAGAGCTTCGACGATGCAGAGAATACAAAGACATATAGCCTTTGGGAGGTTTCTTTTCACTTTATAGATGGCTTTGAACAAGAAGATTCTTGAGATACGGTGATTCGTGTTCACGATGTATTCAGTTGCAGCGCTCCTTATCGCTTCATTGTTGCCTCTTTGTAATGACGCGGGATAGTGTTCTTGAACCCTTTTGGATAACAGTCACATCGAACGACCTATATACCTGGCTCCACAAGAGCAGGTGAATTGTTATATGCACATAGAAGTGGTCAGATGCGAAAGTTTCTACTTTGAGTTGTTAGAAATCATTGGGCGACAAGAGAATACTAGTCTCAGTGGTGATGCAACCAGTGTTCTCCCTAGAGCGTTTGATATCCTCCTTTCTAGAGTGTCAGCGGCAGAATCATTTTTGAAGTTGAGATTCATATAGCGTATCTTTTTTACACGGTGGTAAGGTTCACTTTGTGAGGTTAAGGGCTTAGTGTTTTTATCTTTGAAGCGTGGTGGGAATCCGTTTTCAATCAGAATGTTCTTTAGAACAGAAACTTCTTATCTAAACTTATTTTGATTAATATTCACTACTCATCAGCTTTTAGTTTTTTCATTTTAATACCAACTCATTTATTGACATTATTTGATGTTACCATACTTGACAAACCGTTTTTAACACTAGAAAAATGTGTATAAATTTGTGATTGTGCAGTTTTGGAAATGAAACCACCTAAAAGACTCTTTTCTGAAATACTTGTTCTTCTTTCATAATTACATAAAGTGCTCACTAAAAAAACGGTTGTATCAGTTTTATTCTGTGAGAAAGTGACTTACACTTGGTCACTTATCGTCAAAAATTTAGGTTTCTATTACATCAAGGTTTTACAAATACACTTCATGCTATATTTTGGTCCTCATCGTTAGACTTTTATCTCCTTGATCTCATCAATGTGTTTAATAAACGCCATTTCGCTAGTTATTACCAATTGCTTCGTTAATCAATTTCCACGTTTGAGTCTGTACTAATACAAGCGTTTACAGGTTACGTCATCGAATATCATTAATTTCTAACTTCTACGGTCACTAAGCTCCCATCATCATAGTTTTTTAACAATACTTCATTAAACACATCCCAGCAATCAGTAACTTCGTAGTGTGCTACCATTTTAGTCTGAGAACTCAACCTAATTTTCCTTTCATTTTTCTGTATATGATAACGTTCCCCATGAAGATATCGTTAACTGTTTCACTATCAATCTCAGTTGAAAAATGACCGACATAATATACAAGACTACAGTTTATTGGTCTCAGCAGAAGATACGAATAAATGTAGACTAGCGTTTCAGGGAACCACGATGAACCATGGTGACTTGTAGACGGTGTTCAGAGTCGTATAGGGTACTGATAAAAATATAATAATTGTATCGCTTTCTTCCCTCAGCATCCTCATCCTGAAATCCACTCTATTCGGTTCACTTTGAGCAATCAATTAATATCAGGAGTTACCAATTGTCAAATTTTACTCATACTCTAGGGCATAAACTTGTACCAGGTTGTTGAATTAAATTACTCCAATGTTCAAGCTGAAGAAGATCGTATAATTAATAAGTTTTTGATAAATTCAACCATTTTTGTTTGAGTAGTTGTTGTCTATCTACTGAAGGTATCATTCGAGTTTTGTATTGTGTTATATTACTAGCAATACTGATAATTTATTCAGTTCTCTGTTGCTGATTTTTATATATTTAATTTTAGGTATAAAAATGACCCGTGGTTATGGGATCTAGATTGGTCTAGACCGAAGATTAAATGTGTGAGTTTCTCAACATTATCAATATCACTTGCTTTAAGTTAGAGTGTATTGCAAGGATTCGGTTTTGTTTCTTTTCACTTTATATATCTCCGCTCACTGATTGGCTTTTATTTAAGTGTTATACTTGGAAATATTGTTGATCTTTGTATCAAAATAGTTAACGTGTTTATACAACCTGTTACATAGCATTTCACAATGGAGTTTTCAAAGTTGTAGTGAAAAAAACACAACTATAATTTCTCTGTAGGTTGAACTTAATTGGTGGCTAGATATGAATGTTCGTAAATGACATGAGTGAAATCTGATGTTATTCATTACAAACTTGCGAAGGTTGAAAATTTACGCTAGTTCTACTTGTAATAAATATATTTGTTTGTCTCGATTTCTTAGAGGATTGTAGATGCATAGTATGTATTGAACGATTCAGTCCATATTTGCTAGAATTGGAAATGAGATTTGTTTGAGCGTAAGCCAGAATTTCTATTTCATCGTCAATGATGATTGTCATGGTTACAGCTTATTACCGTGTAGTAAGTCCTGATAGTCAACAAGTATAGGTTTTTACCTATCCAACTCACTTTATAAACTATTCAAACACGGACTAATTGTATTAAGGACTTTGTCAGATCTGTTTACATTGTTAGTTCTAATTAATGCATTTCGACTAACCTTGTATATTGCAACATCTTCAAAGATATCTTGGGATAGTACTAATGTAAAGCGATTCTGAATATTGTACCTAGTTGATAGTTCGAGACCTTAGGCAGTATAGTTGAAAATTGTTCGGAGTGGCATCTTATCTGTGGCTATTGCATTCGTGTACATCTCTTGTGTTTATCGGATCTTCTGTTCTATAGAATTTCTAATGTTATGATTCGGGTGTGAAACTGTCTTTTCACTTGTTACAACAGTGAATGATACATTAATGGATTTCGTCAGAATTGAAATCCTAGATCATGTGTCATACCCTGTGAAATACAGTAGGAATATATGAAAAATGAAATTAACAATTATTTGATATTTCAAGTTGTTATTCATCGAAGACTGACATCAGTTGGAGGAACAAAGGAAACCTGGGAGCACTGGACAGCTGTTTCGTCCTAGTATGGGACTCCTCAGCAGTGCGCACCCACGACCCCACCAGCAGGGATCGAACCCGCGACCTTCAGGTTCCGCGACCTTTGTTCCTCCAACTGATGTCAGTCTTCGATGAATAACAACTTGAAATATTTCCAAATCTCCACAACCCCCTCAAAATTTAATTATTTGATATATTCAACGTAGGTTGTGGTTGAAGAAATTAATACTTGTAGATAGATATCGAAGATGTCGCTTTTGAGTTTGAACAGTGATTTGCAAGTTAGTTGGATGCAGGCAACTGGTAGGAAGTCATGGACTTTGGTTTCATGCTTTTTAGTACTCATCAGAAATGTGTCTGCAACCTCTACAAAAGTGATGTCCCGCGTCATCCAGTGTTGCAGTCAAAGGTGTTACCACTGAATGATTGGATGTTTATGGATGATCATTCCATATAAATGAGTGTGTTAATTTACGACAGAGTTCTAATGAGTGATCAGTAGGTTTTATGGGTCTTTTATTGTATGAAGACTCAAAGTCTGAGGTGTATGGATGTGCCTTGAGTATCGCATTGTTTCTAACCTCACCAATCAATTTCACCGACTGCTAGATTGGCAGAAGCCTATGTCTCCGCTCACCCCTGGTAGTAAGCTGTTGGAAGCAGTCGAAAAGCTCGTGTATCTGGATAGTTGTGGGAGTGTGGGTGGTGAAATTTCCAACCGCATATCGAAAGCCAGAGTGGCAATCTGGGCCACGTTTGGTGCCGTTACAACATTAATCTGACCGTGAAAGGTTTGGTTTACAACGCTTCGGTGCGGACAGTTCTGCTCTACGCCTGTGAAATCTGGCCTATTCAAGTTGAAGATATACGACGACTCTGTATGTTCAATCATTGTTGTCTCCGTAGGATTGTTCGTATCTGGTAACAATATCAAGGTACGACAGCTCGTGTTTCGGCCTAATGTAGATCGTCATTCAATAAGTGAAGTCATTTTGAAACACCAGCTTCGGTGGCTTGGACATTACACATATCGTCCCAACAGCTTCCACGCCGTTCGTTGTTTGGTAACTGTAGGACTAGATGCAAGAAGCGCAGGGGTGGTCAGTGCATGACGTGGCGCCGTGGAATGAAAGATCGTTGTATTGGGTTGGCATCTGTTGATGCATCACGACTCTTTGGGTAGGATCCGAGAAGAGATCATGCAACTCGATGGTTTGAGACGTTATCAGATATGACTCAGAACGTAAACCAGTGGCGGTCATGCAATAGTTTCCTCCTATCTTCTACTACCGAAGACTAGTAGATGTTTCGTTTCAAATGTATCTTACTGCACTGTCATTCTAATCATGCTGTTCTTACTGTTTTTCTTTCTTACTTATCCACTTCCTATCTTTTATATTTTCACATTGTTATTATACTATTTTGTGTGGGGCATTTCTCGATGCCTTTGCTGTATCATGTTTGTGTTCTAATAATAATAATAATAATAATAATAATAATAATAATAATAATAAATCAGCTGCGTTTTATATGGTAGGCGTGATTTATTCCATAAAGCTGTTTGACTTGCTAAGTGTTATAAAATCGCGATAGAATACTAAGCTTGTGGACTGTTAATCGCCGCTCTTAAGACAAAACCAAATCTCATCACAAATTCAAAGCATGTAACTGGCATTGGTTGGCTTTCACCAAATGCAGTACTAGCGAGTTAGCCTAACTCCTGATAGGGACCAGTATCGTTATTCAGTTCTATATTCTTTTATGACCATAAGAAGTGCGGTTACAAGTTTCGCATTGACTGGAAAGTGAGAAATGTTGATCTAAAGTATGGAGTATGATAGGTAAGGAAGCTAAATACTCGACAATGGTATGAATATGCATGAAGTGAATTAACTTATAGAACCGTTTTCTGCATCCATTCTCAGTTTTGGTTACATTACTGGTGGTGTAGCAGAAACTGCAAGTTATTCAAGCCAAGGCATAACAACAGTTTATGAAGCCACTGACTACTGATTTAATTTGCATAGGTTAAAGGGGGCGTCATGATTATAATCTGCATCACAAGAGAAAAAGAGACAGTATGATCCAACATACGTGTATATTCATCCAAGGTGTTGGACTCTACATTACAACAATAGTGAAGAACTCACATGTAGGGAAGAAAAAAACCCAAACACTAACGTCAGTAATAGTCAGAAAAGGTAAAATGGTGGAGACAGGTTGATAAAAGAATAAACAGTGTAATAATAACGTGTCCACACTTTTTGAGGGAATACTAAATGTCAATGAGTCTGTACTGTAGCTAACAATATTTTCTTGGTTAACTAGTTATTTAAATGCTGATGTGAAAAATTTAAGAAGTGGCTATATTCAAATCAAGATGCAACGAATTTCCATGTTTTTAACCTAAGTTGAAGTGAGTTTCGCACACTGCGAAATTCACTATTGTACTAAATTTTGCATTGGATAAAATAAAACAGTAGCGTTTTTTATTTTTACGCTCATTGTAGAAAACTGAAGTTGATAAGAAGTTGTCTACTCTCCCTAAGTAAGTGATCATCATTGTATGTATATGTATTTTAAAGTTAATAGGTATTTTCTCCACAAGGTAGTATTTATCACGGATTGAAATCAGTTAGAGAACCATTGAAAAGTTGAAAGCACTGCACGACTGTTTTGTTCTAGTATAAAACTCTTTAGCAGTATGCAACTATGACTCCAATGGGTATCGAATCTAAAACATTCGGGTTTCACTGCGAATGCGTTAATCGTTCAGTCACTGGGTTGGAGTTCAATGGTCCAGTTTCCTACTGCTGTCAATTTGCGTTATTTCGTGACTATAGTCCTAGGTCTTCAGTTGGGATCCACTTCAAACTCGAAGCATTAGCCCCATAGGTTGTGGCTTCTCATTAAAACTCCAGGATATCCATCTGAAAGCATGTCATTTACTAATAAACACTATACAGTAATGTATTTTAAGGTTAATGAGGATTTCATTTTTAAGGTTGTATTCATCATTCACTGACATATATGCATGCAATGCAACTTGATGGATGTTTATTTACTACGTTATGAGACAGTTTGTTATACTATCCAGTTGTCGAGTCCTAGAGTGGTAATTGGAGCAGGGTACTGCCATAAGTACTGGACTGGACCATGCAACAAACTGTGAAGAGCGAGAAGATGAGCATACACTGTTTGACCGATGAAAAAACCCTAAAAGATTTTGATTTCGTCGGTGATTTATGCCTAATGTCTTATGTCACACAAAGTAGAAGATCTACAGGCGAAAATTAACAAGTTGACAGAAGAGGTGAAACAGCGAAGACGGGACTTCATTCAGTTGAACGTAGAGAAGACAGAGGGAATGAAGATACCCAACCGATAACAACAACAAGCATCAATGTTTATGAACGGGACGAATGTAAAGGAAGTTGTCTCTTTCATCTACCTAGTTGGACAGCATCGTTTCCACTACAGGCGACACAGGTGAGGATGTCAAAGCAACCAGGATCGGAAAGACAGCAAGACATGCCTTCCTGCATTAATTTGAAATCAGTGTGGAGATCTACTGCTTAGCATTGCATTGCACTCAGCATAAAGCTTGAACAAGATCCAGATTTTGAACACTAATTCAGTCAAGTAAGTCAGTGCTTCTATGTGATGGTTGAGAGAGTAGGTGCGTTACTGGAAGCATTTCCAACAAACTGCAGACATACATCACACGAACAGCTGCCGCCTACGTTCATTCGATACTGAAGATCAGATCATATGAACAGAATAATGAGAATAAGCAATGAGGAGCTCTGACTGGTAACGAACCAACGAAGAACGTATTGCTTAAGAAAATATTCAGAAGAAAGTGGAGATGAATTGTATTGGAGTGGATTGGATATACGCTGAGAAAGAAGACGGTTTGTGTTATGTCTTCGAACGCCAATAGTTATATATATATTCCGAATGATAGAATACGCACTTTTAGCTGACAGCCAACTGAGTACGCAACAGACACTGACTGCAACCCCGGGACGAATAGAGAGAAGACCGAGGCTGGACGATGGGAGAGTTTATTAATCCGAGAATATACCAATATATGATAATCAATCCCAAAACACGTGAATAAGTACACGCGTGAAAAATGACCTTGTCCTCAACTTGAGACATTTGCATAGTAAGAGTAAAGAAAGATTAACCAATCAGCGATTTACATTACAATGGAGGTAGAAAATAGACTATTAGTCATACTGTAAAAAATGGTGTGAGAATGACACGTTAAAATATTCAGATCAATGACAGTGTGTTATACAACACTGGGGTATCACAACAGTTTGGGGACACCACGTGCCAGTCTGTTGAGTGGAGCTGGAATGGGAAACGACGAGTTGGGCGTCTGAGATTGACAGGGAGGAGTGGTGTGAGGAAGAAAGGAAAGCTTGTGAACAGTTGTGGAGCCAAGTTCAAAAGACTACAGAGAATAGAGTGAAATGGTGACGAGCTACTGAAACCCTATATTCTACTAGGAACCTAAGGGACAAATAATAATAGTCCTTAACCTTGATGCTAATTTATATAAAATTCACTGTCTTTGTTTTCATAGAGTTATTCATCTATTTTATTTAGGTGGTATCGAGAGCTTATTCCTAAACCAGTGAAAGAGAATTTAGATGCTGGACCAGCCTTATTGACTGCTCAAATGCGTATAGCGTCGAAACTTTTAAGACTTTGTTGGGAAGGTCTACCTTTACATTATGACCTGGTGAGATTTAAGACTCTGTTGAATCTTGTATTTATGCACTTTTGGTAAACTTTTTCTATAAAGGACTTTTTATTTTGACTACCTATACTGATGACATTATTTAAGGTGTAGGTAGATTGAAGTGACCGACTAGAACAAGACGTAGACAATAACGATACTGAACTCAGTGGTACACTAGAACTGAATGCTAATATGACTATTTTCCCTGAGCACCTTGTTCTTCACTGAGTCACGCAAATATCAAAAGACAAAGGCTGACCTGTGACTGCAAGTACGACAACGACTTTATTTGATGCCGTATAACGCGTGTATACAATTCCCACATATATAAAAAATGCACTAGGCGCAGGATAGAATAACACAATCCCACTGGTTACCTAATCGTCCAATGAAGTTATTTTGTCCATATATAAACATTAATTAAAATCTGGAACAAAAACACTTCGGGCAGTTTTTAAAGCCACTCTAACAACTACCAAAATAACTAATCAGGTTGCGGTATTTTTTTCTGGGAGGACAATTTTCCATAGAATAAAGAAACGTGATTGGTTGTTTCATGAAGTGTTAGAGTGGTCGTTAGTCACTCATTCGCCCCAACAGCTGATGACCTTGAGCTTCGATCGCCATATTTGGCCACTTCCTATCATAGATGGTGTATATATTTGACTACCAGTTACTAGATCATAGTTTTAGCTTCCACGTGAATTTTTCCTGTCTTGGGTTTTAAGTGTAACCTTTAAACGGTGATCTATTGATGTTGCATTTTACTACTGTCTGAAATTTGTGCGAAGAAATTCTTGATTAACATTGAAGTTGGGTGTTGATTAGTTTACTCACCTGTCAAACTCATCAGTAGATATCGGTTATGATTATTCAACGAATTATCACAACTGAATCTTCATCAACGTATTGAATTAGATTGGGTGAAACAACAAATGTGAGTATCAGTCATACAAAGTGTGATATTATGGGGATCAAGGAACATGAAATTGTTCTGGCGAAATAAAATGGTTTGAAATGGAATGAAATAAAAATAAGAAAGAGCTAAATGTAAGAACCGTGTGGTCAAAATGGTAAGCTACGTTCAAAGTCGTGAAAGGAACTATACAAACTGTTTATCGTTTGACTATCTGAGATAGCCGTAGTTTGGTAGACTAGTATTTGTACTAGGTGATGACTGAAGGTGAGATGAAAATCTCATCACCCACTACAAATACTAGTCTACCAAACTACGGTTATCTCAGATAGTCAAATGATAAACAATATGATGCTCCCCTCTCTGATTCAGTTACATTTAGATTGGGATGAGAAGTCTTGACTAGCCAGCCAGTGTGAATACGATCAAGCGGTAGTAACGCGTCACGAATTCACATGGTAGTCGGACGAAACGCTTCGTGATTGAAGTGAAGTAAAATTCTGGTCAGCAGTCGGACCTTGTAGCTCAGTTGGTAGAGCACCGGTCTGGTAACCCGGTGGCCGCTGGTTCTAATTCGGTCGCGGTCCAGATTTTCATCTCACCTTCAGTCATCACCCAGTACGTATACAAACTGTTTCTAGACACATATTTCTGGTTTAAGATTATGTACTGCCAAGGCTTCTGCGTTACAAAGTAAATCCATTTGTGCACCTTTTGATAAGTTTGATTTAAGGTTTTAGAAAATATCAGATGATGATTCAGAAGCTGCATGGCTGCAGTCAACTATATGGAGGATTGATGAGTTTACGCTCCTACTTTCCCCTCTGCTCAGTCATACTGGAAGGTGCTCTTTCATACGACAGGAAATGTTTCTCGATGGAAATCCTATATACCTAGCTCCACAAGGGCAGGTGAACATGTAGATTCACATCGAGTTAAAAAATTGTGGTAACATTTCTTTAGCATTAAGATGGACCGAAGGGCAGCTGGAATGAATAAAGATTAAAAAGGTGGCATGGAATGTACAGAATTTTCGAACGCGTTACGAGAAAGAACGAACCAGATTTATCTTTCTTTCTACAGCAACAAAGCTATATAAATGTGTTATTTGCTCCTTACGTATTGTTTTCCTTGTAGATCGATCTATTCAGAGGGATGCATCAGGTCCTTGTTATTAATATATCACGAAATGGGATTTTAGAATCCCTTTCTTCTTTGAGGTTGAATTTAATTGATGAATGGTTATCATTAAATGTGTTAAATATGCTTTGCAAATCACAAGTATAATCACAAATGATAAACGTATGTTCCACATATCACTTGTATAAGTCTAGCTTCTCAATAGTTTCCCCCAGAGTATTATTTCGGGTTTACTAAGAAGAAATCAACTACCGGTGGACGTAGTAGGGGATATCATTATGACGCCATCCCTTTGTCTATAGATCCCATTGCTGAAAATGAGCCGAACACTTAGTGTGCATCTGAGCATAAGTTCCCTCAGGTCAAATGTAGACATCTCTATATTTACATCATGTGAATCTATATAGTCGCATATGAAGTATGCTATTTCGTTAAGTGGGGCATTTGTAAAAGGAGAGAAGACATGTGAGGAGAACATGGTTTTACCAGTAGCCTTTCAAACCTTAATACAATCAACAAATTTAAATGTATTATACAATGACTGTTTACAGACTAACCAACTCGACCACATAATGAGGGAACTAGATGTATCTAAAATAAAATAAAGTGGTTGTCCAGGTTTGTGAACATTGGGTCGACTATTATAGACCCAGTTGGTCTCAATATTTCTTAGTGTTCTAAAATGATCAGTGAGAAACTTTCATTCTTTTCAAAACCTGTACATTTTATCCTTCGATTAATCTTCACTCACCTGCTTTTAGATGAAATCATATCATATTCATCCATTCGTTTGCCTCCTATCATGCATCTTTGACCTTTATTCTCCTATATTTTTCCCTATTGATTTAATAATTCATGAACTATTATCTTCATTTATAATCATGCACTTTACGATTCCAATTATTGTGAAAATGAAACGCACACACGAACAAATTTGTTATTTATCATTTTGACTATCTGAGATAGCCGTGGATTGTTAGACTAGTATTAGATACTGGGTTAATGATTGAAGGTGAAATGAAAATTTGGACTGCGGTCGAATTAAAACCAGCGTTTATCGAGTTTCCGGCCTTATGCTGTACCAACTGAACTATGAGGCCTGACTGCTGACCAGATTTTCATTTCACTTCAATCACCATGGGTTTTGTCCAACTACCATGTGAATTCATGATGCGTTACTACCGCTTGATCGTACTCACACTGGCTACCGCCGTGGTTCAGATTTTCATTTCACCTTCAATCATCACCCAGTATCAATACTAGCCTGTCAAACCACTGCTATCTCAGATAGTCAGAATGAGAATAATATTCCATCGCTTCAGGTATTCGCATCATTAAAATTGAGTTGTGAATACACACTCGGCTAATCCGTACAACTGATTTGTATTATCGTTCTTCAGATAAAGTGTGGCTCGCGTCTAATTTACTTTGTCATATATCGATTTCGCTTACAAGATTTACATTTGTCGGAGTTTATTTATTTTATTCAATGAAATTAGTCCGGTAAAACAGCTAAAATATACATAACATTATATGTTTTATCGCTTCTATCACAAAGCAGATAGAGTATATTTTTGAGTATGAAAGTATTTTTTCTAGTACTATCAGAACTTATAGGTGATTTTAAGTTGGAATTCATCATAGACTGAAGACAGTTGGAAGAACATTTGAAACCTGGGAGCACTCAACACCTGGTTCGTCCTAGTATGAGACTCCTCAGTAGTGTGCACCCACAACCCCACCTCGCCAGCGATCGAACTCAGGACCCCCAGGTTCCGTGGCCAGCACGTTATCATCGAGCCGCTGGGTCGGAATCCAATGATCCATATTTCCTTCAGATAGAATTAATCTAGCGCTCATTGGTGACTAGCTTCGAGCGGTAATGCTTGAAGTTCCAATGAGAATTAGTGACTAATGGAGCCAACTTAGTCGAACGTGAAGACAGTTACTCAACGACAACATTGGTTGGAATTCGTGCTATATGGTGAATTGACAGAAGTTGGACATACGCAGCATTGGATTTCGCCCCAGTGGCTCAATAGTAACGTACTGGCCACGGAACCTGAGGGTCACGGGTTCTATCACTGGCGGGATCGTGGGTGCGCACTACTGAAGAGTCCCATACCGGGACGAAACAGGTGTTGAGTGCTCCCACGTTTCTTATGATTCTTCAACTGTTTTCAGTTCATGATGAATTCCAACCTGAAACCAACTAATAAATCTCCATAACCCTCCAGATTGAATTACAGATGATTTGTTAAACAATTTCAGACCATCTATTTAACCAAAGTTACAGTGTTTTGTTCTCTCGATATTTCTATTCATATGACAACATACCTAATCACAGAATAAGGGATCATAAAATTTTTACTCGTAACAATTTCATATTAATTGTGATTATATTGTTTTTTTTAGTTTTATGTTCAAGGACGGTTATTCCCTATGAAATATAGTTTCTTTCTGGTAGATATATTCATTCACTTAATTAGAATATATTCAAAGGTATTCTCTTTATTGAAATTTGAAGTTGGAATTTTGAAAAAAGTCTACCTTCTTTGTTTGTTCACGTTGTTGAACACTTCGTTTGATTATTTTGATGGTATTTCCAAGAGTTCTATGGTAGATAGGTTTATTTTGCATAAAGAAACCTCTCTTTAAATGCCAAGTACTGAGTTCTCATGATAGTTATCAACTTGTCTATTAAGAGATTTTGTTGTGAATTTATGAAAATAAAGTAATCCACTTTTTATGTGATTTCAACACTAACCTATAATTTATATGTAAGATATAGAAGTGATATCATCTTTTGATGTAAAGAACAAAGGATTTAAGATTTATTGAAGCGATTATTAAAGTGTATTTTAGCAGAACAAATAGTGGGTTTAGTGACTATGTCTTCTGTTGGAATAACTTCAAAGATCACCCCAGCAACCGTTAAAATAACCAATTATATTTCCTCATTTTATGGAAAACAAACTTCACAGCCAAAATACTGAAACGTGATTGGTTATTACACCAGTTACTAGAATGGGATTTTAGCTACTATTTGTTAGGCCCTATAACAGATACAAATAAATTAGATGCATATACGACTTAGTCATCTCTTTTCCCATAGAACATCACTACTAAGCAAGAGTCATACTTATTGTGCAAAGCTTATTCTTACTAGGCTGGGTCTGAGTCCGTGACCCCATTCTTTAGAAGTAAAGTATTTAGACCAGTAAGCAATAACTAGAGATTTGGACTGACGTTTTTATGTCTGGTAATTTAATTGCTTACACTATTAGTGCGTTATGTACAATGGAGCTGTTGTTCATTGGTCTAGGCGATAGACTTTCTACGCTTGAGTCATAGGTTCGAACAAAGGTTCATCAGTCACCACAGTATATATGTGACTGGATGCATGCTGCATGTAGTTATACATGCTCTCTAAGTTACATTTCAGTCTTCCATTTAATATTATACATAACTTGTAGTCACACAGTGGATAAACATTTAGATGGTTTCTGACTGATACATAATTGTATTCTCAGTATTCTCGTATTTTACTCTTGATCACTTGTATATCATGATATGCTGGCAATTGATCCAAAATCTCTTGAAACCTCTTTATCTTTGTTTTTCACAGGTACTTAAGTGGGGTGTTCTAGTACCTGGACGTGTTCCCCAACCCTATGGTGATCCAAGATATTACGATGATTCACCCACTGAAATAACCAATCCTGAATGCGAGAAGTCGGATGAACAGAGTTCTTACAGTTCCGAATTATGCCAGCATAGTGCATCGATCCGTTCAATTATTCCTGTCGTTAAAACAACTGCAGCTGGAGATGAAACACTTGATTTTCCTTACGGGTTAGTCTATTTAGCCTGTATTTGCACTGACATAGTCTGTTCTAATGGATTTCTGATCACTATACTTCAATAACCCTGACCAAGGAAAAATAAATGCGTAAATGTTGATAATTTTTCAGAATGCCTTACATATAGCTGACTATTTGTGTGTTTATAAGTTATTTTCCTCAAAGGACAACATTTATCCTCCATATAATTTCACACATAGATTGATTCTCTCTATGCTGTTAAGGAATTCTTCATCTCATAGCCAAAATAGCAGGAGAAAGGAAATAAAATTCACATCTATGGGTAGTTGAAATGGTTTATTAATTTTGAAGCTAGACGGGAAATTACGTCTAAGATTTCTAAGTATATTTTTCTGAGGGTTTCCATGAGAATCGTAAGAAAGCTCTATGCTTACCGATATTTACGGGTAAGATACATCTTTGAGAGATTTATTGATTTACAGGAAATCAAAGCCGTCATGAAACATTGCTGCAATCAAGGATGTTACCACAAGGTTTTGATATCTCCTGGTTTAATATGCCAATATGTGGTGTGGTAACTTTCACCGTTATGTAGTAACACCAGGTTTCATGTTAGTATTATTTTGATGTAACTTTTAAGGCCAAGACAGAGTCTTCCTTCTGACAGCTAGAATAATCGTTGTTATGCTTAAAGTACTAACTAATGTCTGTCAATCAGGTTCGGTTATTTTTAATACATGAACTAATAAAGATGAATAGCTTTCGCAGACTTTGACAGTGGGGCCGGATGTATTTCAGTGAATTATGATTATATGCTGTATAATTTTAGGCTTAAGGTGCTATTTAGCTATCTATCGCTTATAGGTTCGTATATCAAAGTTAATTATCTATACTTCTTTACTCCTGTCTGTGTGAGCAGATTCATACAGTTGATCTGCGAAACAAAAGTTTACTGCCTAATTTTTTCACACAAGATTTAGTTGTGATGTAAACTAACTGGTGGTATCAGATAAAATGTTTGTCTTTCAGTTCACTTCCTCGCTACTTTATGATATTTCAACCTCAGTCGATTATGAAACGTGTCGTGTCATAAAATAAATTAATTCAATACTCAAAATCTCTCACTGCTATACAAGGTAAAACAATTCGACCCTGTATATAGTAACGGGAGGTTTCAAGTATCAGACAACATTTGATACCCACTGCACATGAGGTGGTTATGATCCCTCATTGGCCTGGCAAATAACACTTTGGTGTTTTGAAGCGATGAGTACTGCGTTAGAGTCTCACTGGAGTGCAGTTGCATCCAACTGATGAGTCCCAAATAAGGCGAAGTGCACCTCTTGGATTTCTATGCTAGTCATCAAGATGAATAAACTAATTTAAGTCAAATTATAATTTCGTATGAATTTTGACCAAAAATGATAGATGAGGTTGAGGTAAAATCAGTTAACCAGATGCCAGATGGCGGCTTTTTTTCTCATGTTTTAATCACTTCAATGAATCTACACTATTTTATTCATCTGTTATGCTAAGGGATTCAAGGATATCTTCATGATGTTGCGTTTATATGAGAGTACTTATTTTCTCGATATTGTAACTTTTTCACACCACTTACATGTCTGACCACTTACCTTCACTGATTTTCGTACTTTACTGGTTTTGTGTTATTCAGTAGTGCAATATGTATGTGATGTGTAATGAGTTTCTGTTTACTTTGAAATGGTCAGAAAGTTGGTGTAGGATTAGAATGGAAAATCGAGATGATGAGCATATGAGTATATAGCAAGAATTGATAAATTCAATCGTTCTTCAGGTAATATCAGTCCGTAATGAATACCAACTTAAAGTCAATAAATAAATGCCCACAAACCTCCAAATTGAATTACTGTCCAGTACTCACTAGTGACCTGCTTCGAGATGAGATTCTCCACGTTCTAAAGAGAAGTCGTTACCACTGGAGCAAACCAAACCGTACCTGAAGACAGTTACTCAACGAATGCTTTGGATGTAGGCTGATATATATTGCAAACTGGCAAAGGTAGGAAAATAGTGACTGTTAAATTCTGACTCAGTAACTCAATGTTGACGTGCTATCCACGAAACCTGAAAGTCCTGGGTCCGATCCGTGGCGATATTGCATCATGAGTACGTGCTGCTGAGGAGTCCCATACTAGGACGAAATGGTTGTCCGTTATTCCCAGGTTTTCAATGGTTCTGCGACACTTGTCAGTCCATAATGAATACCAACTTGTAACCAATCAATAAATCCTTGAAAGCCTCCAAATTTGAATTCGTTGTTTGTTGAGGAAATTCATACAGTGTGGTTCTGAAATCCACAAGATGTTGAATATCAACTGTTTGAAAACCTCTGTGCTTAAAAGTAAATCGCTGTTGGGCTGATATATCCACGCTCATACTTCTGAATATTTTATTGGTCCATGCTTGGTTTGTTTCGCCTACCTTTCATAGTCTTCTAGCTTATTTCAATATTTTTTTATAATGTTGTGAGAAAGAACAATAATAGTTAACGATTGATAGTCAAGGGTGGAGATAGTTCAACCCGAGTGATTCAAAAGACTGGTAATCAGCTGAGTTGATAGTATTTGGAACTGAAAACGTTTATTAGTGAAAACGGATCCTATGTGTAGAGTTTACAATAACTTTGAAATACAAAAAATAATTACTACATTTTAAGAGGCAGGAGCCAATCAAAACGCAGCGGGTTATATGAAATGTGACGCATGTGCGGGAAAAAGGAGCACGAAGAAAGAATTTCAAATATATACAAAATATGAGTATGGAATATCAGGGATATAGTCATCTTTAACAGTTCAGAAGTACCATAACTTGAACTGTTGCCACATTTTATTCAAGTTTCCACGTGGACCAATCCATCTTTATGGTATATATGTAGGTGTTCGCTTGTTATTACCTACGTCTTTCGAAATGTTGAACACCTTGCTATGTATTTTTCCTTTCCTTCAACCATATCTGTTTACTTTGTTTACTTCATTATCTTTCTATTCTTGTTAACTTTCTCCCTCTCTCTGTCTCTGGTGTGGTAATTGGGAACGATGAGCTTTTATTTTAGGTTCGGTGGTTGACATGTTTTCCTTTCTAGAAAAACTTCAGGTCAAGTTTTAGTCATTGAATGTATACAGTCTCGTTTCTCGTTGCTTCCTACCATAATAAGTGTTCTTGATCTTAGTTTATATTCTGTATAAATGTTGGATTTAAGAGGTATGCTTGTAAGCTTCTGGTTTGTAGTAATCATAATGACAATAATAATAATAATAGTGATAATAATAATAATAATGGCAATAATGATGGTAACAATCGCTTTATACTGAACAAGTCTGATACAGTATGGGATTCTTATTATGTAATATTTCAATGGAGCGATAATACTTCTAGACAAAATAATTATAGCATTTTAGTAATTGTATTAATTACAATATTACAGTGAATAGTATATAGCGACCATCTGTTACCAAGTTATAGAGAATATGAAGGTGGTGCTTTATTCGACCAGCATAAAAATCTGCTGTTCAACCTGACTACATCAAGAATAGTTACATGATATATTATTGTGCGTCGAAAAATCCACTGTCATATACTGTGACGTTCATTCGATACTGGGTGATGATTGAAGGTGAGATGAAAATTTGGACCGCGGCAGGATTCAAACCAGTGGCTACCAAGTTTCCGGCCTGGTGTTCTACTAACTGAGCTAAGAGACTCGACTGCTGAACAAATTTTTTTTTCCACTTCAGTCACAATACAGGTTTTGTTCGATTACTATGTGTGTTCGTGATGCGTGACTATCGCTTGGTCGTACTCACAATGGATGGGCAGTATGGACTTCTCATCTCAATCTAAATCTACGTAAATTAGGGAGGGGGAAGCATCATATTGATTATCAGTTTGATTATCCGAGATAACGTTGTTATTGCTAATTCGATTATCAACTGTAAAAACGTCCGGTTAAAAAAGAACTTTTAAATTGCGTAAGAGTACATAGTGCGATTTAAAGACATGTTTGAATGATTGAAACAAATTAAAAGGGAGCAATCTGATGTAATATTTTTCGTGAAGACGTTTTGGTAATCCAATCTTTAAGCAGACTATTGATCTATGTTAATCATATCCTTTTTTCCCTAGTGAGGTAACTTGGTTAACTGATATATGTTAATCAGTAAAATGCACTTGACAAGTGAGACTCATTATAAGTAGTTTATCTATCTCTACTCTACCCCCCGTCCTAGTATCTAACATATCTACGATTATATTGTTGTTTACTTGACGGCTATCAGTAAAACTCAGGACTCGCATTTTTGTTCCATTTAGGATTCAGCCGGATTTACCGGTACCCCAGTGAGTGATTTTGTCCCCACTGAGACTCTAACCCAGAACCCATCGCTTCAAACACCAAAGAGCCACCTCTTTTATAACGAGTGTCAGTTATTATTTATTGATACTTTTAATTTACCGTTGCTATACTTGGTTGAACTAGTCGACGTCTGTCTAGCCACCAAGCAGACTACAACATGATGCATATTGATTATCATTTTGACTCTCGGATAGCCGTCGTTTGACAGACTATTATTGATACTGGGTGATGATTGAAGGTGAAATGAAAATTTGGACGACACAGCTTCGAACCAGCGACCACCGGGTTTCCGGCCCGATGCTTTATCAACTGAGCTACGAGGTTCAGTTGGTAGAGTGTCGGGTCGGGAACCCATTGCCCGCTGGTTCGAATCCGGCCGCGGTCGAAATATTCATCTCACTTTCAATCATCACCCAGTATAAGTAATTCATACTCATATAGTGTCGAGGTATCGGGATAGAAGTTTATCTGCCAACAGAAGTCGAACAGTTTGATCGAGTATAACAATGAAGAACTACAAGTATCAATGAATAATATGTGATTACTTTGTTAATGTAGTAATTTGTTTGTTTCACTTATTTCTAACATCTTTCCGAGATATGAAGATCGTAGTTTTGGATCACGATTGGTTAAAGACTATCAGTAAACTGTCCGTATGAATCATCTATACCATTCTGTGGCATAAATCAAACTTAAGGAGTAAAGGATTGATAGCTTGAAACATTGATTTCTGAGGAATTACAATCACTTCTTGTCAGTTAATCAAAGAAGTAGTCTGAACAGTAAGGTTCTCATCTATCGTACTAAATTATCATTTCAGTCTACGTAACTAATCATAAGTGTATTCTGATTACTACCAGTTTTTTATGAGAAGACACACTCTATTTATGGTTCTTGAATAAACTGGTCCATATATCAGATGGTCAATGAATGGAGGATAAGAGTAACTACACAGTTTTTGTAATGCAATACTGTATTGTATAATGTTATTCTGTTTGCAAATACTCATATCACACTTTTAACTATTCATTTGTACAGAGCCTATTTAAACTACTGGCTATCTGATGTGAAACGTCGCCTTCTAGCAGATTTTCAAGTAGACAAATCGAATTCAACCGATTCAATATCAGACGATCTAGCCACTGCTTATTGTCATCGTGTTAAACCTGATATTCGTGATGCTAATCTATTGGATGAATTTAAACGTAGCATTGAAATTATGCCATTGGAAAGAAAGGAACGTGTACGACTAGCGTCAACAATCTGTGCTGTCCGTAAATTAGGTGAAAAGCAAATAATGCAATCTAAACGGCCAAATAATAATAACAATCAGGTAAGATAATTAGCTATTTATGAAACAATATTTATTTGTTGAAATGTAGTCAGCACTTTGAACAGTCTACTGCATGACTGTAGCCACTGCGCCTAGAGTTTCACTACTTACACATTGATCGTCTAGTCTACTCATCAAAACTTTAAATATCGAAACCATCCCATTTGAACATAGGAAATCACAGACGACTGCATTGAAAGATTTTTCTTTTCGATGAAATCATTCCATACATTTGTGAATATATCGTAAAACGATCATCATCATTTATCAACATAGGACCAGGCATTACTGCGTAACGGTCCGAGTTACCACACCTCATATCAGTACATTAAGTAAAAAGGCGATAAAGTGGGAGATGAAGAAAGGAAAATTCAGTCAAAAGAAAAATAAAGTACTAGAAGAAAGAAAGGAGGAGTAAGATGGTGAGATTTGGTATAGCGTCGTTAAGATGAAGATAATGTGTGTATACATTTATGCCACTGACATCGGTTCTGAGGCATATCGCCTAGTCTCCAACCATTGGTTCATCTTGTCTCGCAAACACCAACCGGGTAGTCTAAATCGCCCCACTTGGCTCAAACCAACAGTCAACGACTTCATACATTGGTGCCATGTTTTAGTCTGCCACCTCGGGCCTTTTTCCAGTGTGAACCTACTTCGATCAACATGGCGTGACTAAGGCAGACGGTGACTAGGCATACATAACACGTGTCCCAACCATCTCAGTCAATGGAGGTTCACAATCGTATTAACTGATTTACCCCTTCTCCGTAGAACTCTACACCTAACTTCTGCGTTACGTAAAAACAGTAGAACATCCCGGAGTGATTCCTGGTCAAAGATCAATGTAAATTGCATCACAAAGGAAAGTTGCGTAATGAAGAAATAGACAAAATGATTACAAAACCAAAAATAGTTACGTCACATGTGGGTTATTTAAAGTGATCGATAATCTACGATAGTCATGGTAAATAAAGATGTACATACTTCTTTGGAATGCATAATAATGGTTTGAATTTCTGATTCGCTAATGCTTCAGCTATTCCCAGATGTCTTAGCCTCACTTTCTTCAAGTGGCTTGGTCACACTTTGTACAGAATTTTGAAACAATCATCAAAAGAAATCAAATGTCCTGAGTGTTGTGTCACAGAGCTGAGGATGCATTTCTGTTCTCTCCTTGTCAGTCAAGTTTGATAGTATTCAACAGCGCATTGTATAAGGTGTTTTATTATACGGCTGATGTACTTGGCTCCAAAGGGACAAATAAAGTGATATACATACATTGATGTAGCCGAATACTGCAGCTATATCTCTTTATCGTATTCACCCTAGAAGAAGAGTCTAACTCGAAATCCCACTTTTTCGACATCCAACTTCAAAGAAAACATAGTGATTCACTCCGGAGATCAATTTACAGAAAGGTGACTTGGATGTGAATGAATTTGCGCGTCCCGAATCAGGTCACGATAGTTGTAGCGGTAACATTTGCTTTTTCTGAACACTTAATTTCGGTTGTTTCGTCCTGATTGCTACTGCTTTTACAATCTGGAGGATTCTAAAACCGGGTACCTTTTGGCAACTTGATGCCAACTTGGTACAGAATGGAAAACGATTTCTGTCTACTTCATGGTTCTTTTCAACCAAGTGTGCTAACATGGAGCTGGTAATGGTCTTTATAACATAGTTGGTGGTGACATGAGGAGGATGACTATCTAACTTTGACTTTTTTTTAGCGAGTATATGGTATTGTATACTGACAGAGGTTTAGCTGCAGGAAAGCTGCTTCTCAGTGCCCCTGTGATTTTGATGTCTATTCTCTTGAACATTTCATCTCCCTTGATAGTAAGGTGTATAATAACCTTCTTCTTTCCCACAGTTGGGTATTTATTTCTCTCTATCTGTTCTTCACCATATTTCTTAGTAAATCTCTTAGGATATCCATTCTCTCGGAGATGTTTCTCAATAAAGTTTAGTTCTTCCTCTAAATTGTCTGAGAAGTACAGTCAGAAATGTTGCCACTGAGTTATTCAAATTTTGATCTGTTACTGGTTCCTTATCTTATCCTTTACTACAACCAGTAGTCTACTTTCCACCAAATCATTAGATCAAATATAAATATGCTATAAATTACTGTCTTTCTCTTCTTCCAGTCTTCCACTGCTGTAACCAAACATCATAATTGAAGTATGGATATGGAGAATGAAAACTGACTCCCTCTATCCCATAATCTGTCACAAAGTAAGACCACTTACCTGCTACTTACCTAGAATCACATCTTCTAACCCAAAATCATTCAGTCTAATAATGTCACCAGAAGAAACAGACTATCAGCTGTTAGTGATGCCTGAAAACCACTGATCTTTAGATTTCTGTTAATAACTTTCAGGTCTCATAGCTATTGATTCAGACTGAGTGCAAAGATAGGCTGTTAACTCTGAATCGAATACTCAACCAGTACTACAGGTTGTTTACTTAGATTATTTCGAATCAAATTTTATGTATTTTTGTAAAGATTTACTCTGTCACCTCTGCCACACACCACTTTTCGTTGCTTCGTGAAAGTGCGTTCAGATACAAACTGAAACTGTTGTATCATGCCTAGGCGTTTAGAGTTCAAAGCGCATACAAACATTCAAAAGTTTGCTCATCTTTCTAGTTTTCTCAAGTAGTAACAATATATCAGAGAACGTTATTAGTTTATAACAGTTTTAAACGAAAAAAAATGGGAAATTTTTTAACTAAACCGAAGAATGACGAAAATTGAAGTAACTTTAAAAACCATCCTGGAAACTGCTGAAATCACTAATCCCGTCTCTTTCTTATACGAAAAACACTCTTTCTATCCGAAACCTAATTAGTTATTTCATCTGTTGCTAGGACAGCTATGTGACGACGTTACATGCCAAGTGATTCCCGATGGAAAGCTCAGCGATACTTTTGAAGTGAAGACAGGAGTAAGACAGGGTTGTCTACTGTCACCGATTATCTTCCTGATTGTTGTCGACTGCGCTGGATCATGCAACTGACTGTGAAGAGCGAGAAGATGGGCATACACTGTTTGACCGATGAAAAAACCCTAAAAGATTTTGATTTCGCCGGTGATTTATGCCTAATGTCTTATGTCACACAAAGTAGAAGATCTACAGGCGAAAATTAACAAGTTGACAGAAGAGGCGAAACAGCGAAGACGGGACTTCATTCAGTTGAACGTAGAGAAGACAGAGGGAATGAAGATACCCAACCGATAACAACAACAGGCATCAATCTTTATGAACGGGAGAAATGTGAAGGAAGTTGTCTCTTTCATCTACCTAGTTAGACAGCATCGTTTCCACTACAGGCGACACAGGTGAGGATGTCAAAGCAACCAGGATCGGAAAGACAGCAAGACATGCCTTCCTGCATTAATTTGAAATCAGTGTGGAGATCTACTGCTTAGCATTGCATTGCACTCAGCATAAAGCTTGAACAAGATCCAGATTTTGAACACTAATTCAGTCAAGTAAGTCAGTGCTTCTATGTGATGGTTGAGAGAGTAGGTGCGTTACTGGAAGCATTTCCAACAAACTGCAGACATACATCACACGAACAGCTGCCGCCTACGTTCATTCGATACTGAAGATCAGATCATATGAACAGAATAATGAGAATAAGCAATGAGGAGCTCTGACTGGTAACGAACCAACGAAGAACGTATTGCTTAAGAAAATATTCAGAAGAAAGTGGAGATGAATTGTATTGGAGTGGATTGGATATACACGGTTTTGAGACACCACGTGCGAGGCTGTTGAGTGGATCCGGAATGGGAAACGTTGAGTTGGGCGTCCGAGGGGAGGGTTACATAGAGAAGATGGTGTGAGTGAGAAATGAAAACTTGTGGGCAGTTGTGGAGCCAGGTTCAAAAGACTACAGAGAACAGAATGAAATGGTGACGTGCTACTGAAACCCTACGTTGTACTAGGAACTCAAAGGACAAATAATAATCTGTTGCTAGAGTGACCTTTGAAATCACACGATAATTGTTAAGTTATTAATAAAACGAGTTGCACTCAGCAACTATGTGCCCGTTTGTCCGATAGGCAGTAAACCACACATAAACTGTGAGGTCTGATGCTATCACCTTGCTGTCTAAGCCTCAGTAGATGAAGTGGAATTCACATCCATGACTTTTTGGTTAGAAGTTGAGTGCGTAGACCAATGGACCTCATCTGAAATCGATTTCAAATAGCTACTTCCATTCATTTCAACCGGACTAACAATACATGATTTTATGAGCTGTTCTCATTTGGTGATCCAATTACTTCGGGTTCTCCTTCGTACTATAGTTGGGATTATATAAAAATAACAGTCTGTCTCTTGTCATTAGTAGCACAGATCTCAGTCGATGCATTTACTATGGCTAAATTTAGTTTTTGTATCTAGGCTTTGAGTTACTCCCTTTGTTTGAAACAGCTAGTGATACTACTTGGCTCTACAAACCTTTGTAGATGGGAACAGACTTAGTGATGGTTCAAAATCAAACATCCCTGTGAATAAGTTAAAAACCCATTGAATCACAAATCAGACTTACTGAAAAGCTCTCACTAAATAACAATGTACGTCATCCAACGGGTACATGCAGTACCAAGTATTCGGCATCGAGAATCAAGTGTCGTCAACCTTTACAGTATACATGTATGTATGTATTCCTTCAACTATTTTGTCTTGTAACAATATGACAGAACTATGCAAAAACTAATGATGCTCATTTGGTCTTCGATAGTCTTTAATTGGTATGTTACAGTAGCTAATTGGATGTTAATAATAATAATGATAGTGGCTTTGTTCTGAAAGATCTTTCGGGAATACTCTGCAGAACTTCCAGCTTGTCATACAGCATCAATTGCATGGAAATAGTCTATGAATGTACATAATAAAATAAGTCGAACCTACATGTAAAGGATAAGAATATCTGCTCCATCTGCAACCTTCTTGAAAGTACAGAATTAATTTATGTAAGCAGTCATATTGTCAGTTAGATTTGTCATACATAAATAACTATCTGCCAGCTATGTACTCATTATTAAGTTTGCTTTGAAAAACAAAAGTTGATTAGTCAATTCATTTGTAACACTTTCTTCCCCGCACAGGATACGAACCAAATATAGTGTTTATATTTAATAGCACGTGCATAAAGTCTTGTATACTTACTGTTGGTCATGGCTGACGACGAACACTTAGAGAGCTTTGATTGAAGAGGATTCTGGTCATGTGATAAAATAACTCCTGGGATTGCAGATGTTTACATAAGTTAATATGTTTGTCCACAACAGTTTCGATAAGAAGGTTTAGAGGTACACCACTAGTTCTGCTGACAATCTTTAAAGTTCTACTCAGTATAGCATAGTGTTTATTTAGCAAGCCAGGAAAGAATGAAGGAGAACAGTGGGGTGGTGGTGGTGGTGTTGGGGGGGGGGGGGAGAGGGGAGAGGGAACATGCGAAATGCATGAGTTTATAAAACAGAAGAGGAGAGGCTGAGTTGAAGGAGATACTCTCAGTTTTCGTAATATAGAATGTTGGGTGGAGATATCTTTTGGAAATGAGTAAGATGTGGGATGAACAGGATAGGTGCGAAGAGAAGCACATGCGTAGATGAATCCGACTTATGGCATTCTGTAATACACAACCATCAACGGAAGGGGAATCATGACAACTAAGCAGTTTACATAGGTATTCGCTTCTGAAACTAAAGATTATAGTGTGACATTTTGAGGAATTCAGCACAAGGTTTATTTCTTGTATTCATGTGAGATATGCGTAAAGAATATTTGAAAAACCAAGTAAGCAGTGCAATTTCTGAATGAGTCTTAAGGGAGAAATTAATCAAAAACTTATTATAAACTATAATATATGCCCATAGGGAAAGTGGTTAGTTGTGAACTGTTTTTATACGAACTTAATTAACAGTAATGTTATCTGTTTTTGTATGCATTTTCGGTGTGATTTTTACAACTTTTATATCGGTAACATTTTAATGAGTGTTGATGCTGCGAAGCAAGAATAAACAGCTGCCAGAAAAACAGCGCAAGCTTTCAAAAGATGATACACATACACGCAGTATGACTCCTACATCTTTCACTTTCAACCATTTATATTTTCCAATGGAACTCCTCAATATTTGTGAGGTACTGCCGCCGCCATTTTACGTGCATAGAAAAAGACTTTAAATAAACGGTTAAATAGTTATTGTTCCTCTTAGTCTGCTGTTAAAGTTGTTCAAGTTAGAATAGAAAATGTGACTAATTGAAAGTGTCTACATGGACCAATTTTGCTTTTTCTCAGATTATGCTTTTCATATTCTTAATGTGTAGTAAATTAATTTCAATTGAGATATGTGATGTTTAACTTTTCCTTTGATGATCATTGTGTTTCAGAATGGTAATGAATTGGTTTATGAGAAATTAGGGGAACTACAGGTAATGATAAAATTCCTTATTGTTTTATATTTTTTATTCATCTTATTCTTTTCTGATCTACTTATCGGTATGATAAAAAATTATTCAATATTAAAAGAATATACTATTCAATTAAGAGGTTTTTCGGGGGATTTATTTGTTAATTTAAACGTAGCATTTAATCACAGGTTGTAATCAGTTAGAGAACCATCGAGAGGATTAGACAGCTGTTTCATCTTAGTATGTTATACCTCAGTAGTGTTTATCTCATGGTACAATGAAGTCTCACGGGTGGAATCCAATGGTCTAAATTTTCCTATTTCTACTAATCTTCGACACATCCAATACCATCGTAATACATATCTTGTTTGACTCCACAAGTCACAGCTTCTCGTTAAAACTTTTGGTAACCTATCTTAAAGCATATCACCAATGAGTACTACAAAAAAAAAACGTCACCTGATTTCAGTCCATGATGTGAATACTACCTTGAAAGTTTAAAGATTATTTTTCGTTTTACCTTTATGCCAAGTGTTATCAGTATCCGGGCCACTTACTTATATATTAGTTATCCTAGGAAAGTTTATTGTCAGTTATATTCCTCATTTTATGAATTTATTGTGAAATCAACAAGTGAATACTGAGAGACATCTACACTGTTGTAATCAGCACCAGTGCAGATAAATTACTTAACTAAGTTTCAATTAAAGCTTGAAAGGATAATATTGATTACCATCAAGTGAACTATTCCTGTGCGCTGATTTTTAATTCACTTTTGTTGTTGTATGTGTGAATTTGTGAAACTATTTGGCTACTCATCTGTTAGCAGGGTGGGAAAGACTTTGAACTCATGTCTTGTTGTTTGAAGATCAAACGACTGTCTAACTAATTTGTCGGCTACTTGATTATTGAATTCATTTATTCCAGAAAAAAAAGACAGTACTCCATCAAACATTGTATCGGATGTGGATTGTTGTACTAAAGTGATATGGATGCATAACTATGTGACCATTATTGGATAGTCTTCAACGATCTAACCGATATAATTGTGTATTATGACTAATGAAATAGCTAACAATAGAATTATTTATGTGATTAAAAGACTAAGAATATTCGAATCGAACTATGGATGGGATATTAATGACAGGGAACTAATGATGCTACTACTCAGGATGCATCACTTAACAGCCAAAATTGTAATTCGAATAAACCATGACTTCGTTGTGTGTTTAAATAAATGTATTCTGTATATAGTCGTTTAGTTGTTCAGCGTTATTCTTTTGTGGTTGGTTAACTGTTTACTGTTTAAATTTTGATACTTGGTTTTGTTCCATATTACTATATTCGTTGATTTCTGAATAAAACTAGGCTCAGGGTTCAGCTTTTTGGTTAAACTCCAACCGCTTCGATCAGCAATCTTCAAACTATCCTCAAAAGTATAGACGTCGTAGTGCTGTCCGACATGCAGTAGATACTGTTAATCCTGTTATACCTACTTGTTGGTTTAAACATCTTCCTCATGAGGTAACTTCCATTTAATAATCCTATCACCTTTCTTTCTCATAGTTTGTTTCATGCTAGATAGACAAAATCGAATGTGATCCAAGATGCCTCAGGTTCAGGCTTGCTGTCGCGTTCAGATAAGTGCTTAGCTAACTCCTCCCTAAGTACGTATTTAGCGTCCTCACCTATAAGGCTAACTTAAAAAGCCTACAAACTAACTTAGAAATAAGCTTTTTAGGTTAATAGATCCTATTGATCCAATTAAGCAGAATAACTCAGTTTACAAAATCCCTTGCAACAATTGCGAGGTCAAATTAGTCGACCAGGGCCGGTTAGGCTATCCGAGCACAAAAGCCTAGCTAGGCCAAAGTTGGTAGATCTTTGTAAGGTAAGGAATTTTGAAAAAAAAAACTAGCTATGCATGCAATTATACAGAACCGCACAATGGGATGGGATAGGTTGAAAATCCTTGAAACTAGACTAGGGAGGTGGAGGAAGAAATTGATAGCAATCTAATACATACAAAAGGAATGACTCTGCATCTGTTCCGGATATATGGGAAATTTCACTATCCATAACACAAAAGAGACGAGGAAATTAGGACTATATTAAGTTGTGTAATTATCTTGATATGACTATGGCCAATAAATTGTGTCTAAAATGTAATCCAATAAATAATACTGTTTTTCCACTGTATGATACATCTGATAAATCAATTAAAATGGAATTCTAATTTTTAGTCGGGTACTGGACTTCCAGTTGGTTCACCACTTTCTCGTGCATTTCAAGGTCATATTGCATCTCATCGATTGCATAGCGCAGATTTCAATAGAGACATTGTCAACAATGATCCATCTATGAATACTCAAGTAAAATCAAGAAAAGAAATTGGATTAGCTGACCAATTACTACACGATCGTGTACATGCTACATTCTGGCAAAGTTATTCTAAACGTGTCAAGTAATTTCTACTTTTATATTGGTCTTTTTTCAAAGATTCTTGATGCTTTTAAGACATTTAATAATTAAAGTGTAATTTAGATTTGTTAGGTCAGTTATACAATTTCAGATAACTTAATCCAGATGGACAGATCGGTAAAATTAACTCAGAACCTTGCACAGAAGTGCCTCATTACACAGCACCATGCAAAGAATAAGAAGATAGAAAAAAGTATACAAAAAGGTGTAAAGGAAGGGAAGGAATTTAGAAATGAAGGTTGATCAGAGCATTCAAACTTTAGAAGACGTCAAAGAGGGAATTTATCGGCACCATTGTGATCAATTTTCAGCCGTTTCGCTAACAATCGTCAACCATTGATTCTAATCATCAAAAGACTAGGTGGTATATGATAGATAATCTGGAAAGCATTGTTCTTATACACTACGTAATGTGATTAGAAACAGTCTTGTTCTCTTATATGTCTTGTTCTAATACATTCTTATAATTTGGAAACTGCTATGCACCATGGCCGCTAATGATGCATGGATATCAAGTGTCAGCCACCAGTGTTCAGCAAAGTCCTAGTTGATTTCTGGCTCGACTAATTAATGGAGAAGACACGATGGACGTATAGTAACGTGTATTAGGGTCGAAAGATCGAAGACAAGAACAAAAGAAAAGAAAATATATCTAATATATGTAGATAGTTCGCTTTTTAAAATAATCCTGTTGATTGGTTTATTCACCGTCTGTGTTTAACTATGGAAGTGACAGCATAAATTACATTTTGATTGGTCTCTCTCCAAACTATTCTTTTCTTTATAGTCCCATATCTTACATGTACCTTTTGTTATATTTGAGGTGTACATCGTGTTACTAAATTTCTGATAACCTTCTTTTAATACTGGGTGATGATTGAAAGTGAAAGGGGAATTTGGACCGCGACCGGATTCGAACCAGCGACCCCCGGGTCCCCAACCCGATGTTCTACCAACTGAGCTACAAGGTCCGACTGCTGACCAGAATTATATGTCACTTCAATCATCAAGGGTTTTGCCCGACTACCATGTAAATTCGTGATGCGTTACTACCGTCAAACTACGGCTATCTCAGATAATAATCAATGTGATGCTTCCCCTATCTGATTCGGTTAGATTTGGGATAAGAAGTCCTGACTAGGTTGCCAGTATGAGTACGATCAAGCGGTGGTAACTCATCACGAATTCACATGGTAGTTGGGCAAAACCTTTGGTGATTGAAATGAAATAAAAACCTGGTCAGCGGTTGGACCCCGTATGTCTGTTGGTAGAGCGCTGGGTCGGTTACCCGGTAGTCTTTGATTTGAATCCGGCTGGGGTCCAAATTCGCATTCCACCTTCAATCATCGTCTCAGATAATCAAATAATAGCCTTTCTTTTTGATAAAGGATACTTAAACTTAACGTACAAGTATTGAAATATCTAAGAATTCTGGACCATATTATTAGTTGGATAAAATTTACATTTAAATGAATTAGAATGTTGGGAACTAGGCAAATCAGTCGGTCTACAGATTTCATCAATAAAAACAGAATTCTAATTATACAGTGATCATTTCATCCATTTCGATTTCGTTTCAATGTCAGTATGTCTGAGTGAATTTAAGTCAAACTAATTTTAGCTGTTCAATTGATGTGAACCTAACAATAGACCAATTTGTTTCTACATATTTATTGGGAAATTTGCAAATTATTTATGAAATGTTCAACTAACATTCACCTTTCATCATTCAGTTGTTATTGAACTATCCAACTTTTATGCCGGGAATATTTTATAAAGGAAAATATACTTGTAAAATTCCAATGAGTTAAAAAATTAAATTTATGACATTTTGCGACCTAGTGGAAGTTGCTTCTTCAGAGAGTAAAACATGTACAAGTTATATGTTTAAGTTCTTTTGATCTGCGGTGTATATATGAATGATATAACGCTCCGATGCGATACGATTAATGATAGAACAATGACTTCCTAACACGATATTCAAGTGATACCAGAAGAAGAAGACAGTGAGATTGAATGTATACTTACTTCAACCGAATGGTGCAATTATTAGCTGAAATTTCTATCGTTTATATACCTTTTTAAACAAAATACCATATTAAAAGTGTAAAATGAACCAATCAGCGTTTAGTATCTTAAACCGCGGTAAAATAAATGAAATTGCGTTGAACAAAAAAAGCTCAAAAATAAAGTTTAAATTTCACAAGGAAAAAATACACAGGTCACCCAAATCAAATCATGTTTTTCACACAGGTTAATAATGTACGAATAGATGTTATCGTTATCAGTTATAAGTCCGTGAGTTCAAGGTGAATATGTGTATGTATTGTTTGGGTGTGAAAAGTGATATGAATGAGAGATACAGTTTGTTTGTGTGTAAGTGTACTTTAGTTATGGTTAGTGCATAAAAATTGTTATTTTGGATATACTATCGAATTGTCTGGATAGTTAGGCCTTCCTTTCTGTTGAGTGCTTTATGATTCAACATGTTATGAAGTGCCTAAACTATCCACCTTCCTCAGGCTTTCAATGGTTCTCCGACTGAAATGAAATCAGTCTCAATATGTGTGTGAACTCAGATAAATAGTAGATTATTGCTGTCTGTATTCTTTTCAAGTGTTACGCATATAACACCACCGTTTTGTAACAGCGTCAGAAAATCTATGGAAAAAATAATTCTATCTAATGGTGTAATAAGTGCAGTTGAAACTCAAACTTGAGTCACGCCTTGCTTATAACCAGCGATAATGCGATCTAGGTTGTTTTTTATCAACTTCACTCGTCACCCCATTACACAAACTTGTTTACCGAAACCATGGCTGTTCGAGTGTTATTTGCGAGCATCGAATTTCCTACCTGTTGCATATCACCAGCTATATCCGGATTCACGCTAGTCATATCTCATTGTGTACGGTCTGGGTACACTATTTATTTACTTAAAAGCTTTGTCGACGAATCAATGATGAACCACATTGAGTTTGTAACCCACTAGGCCAAAGCTTTATAATTTTTTTTTCAAGATTGGACTATACTTTTCCCTTAAGATGATCCTCCTGTTTAGTATGTGAGTCACACTTAATGTGTCAAGCTTGATGATACTATCCAGTCACTGTGGTCGAAATAGTTGAACTAGAGTTCGAACTTGAGAGTGTTATTTGTATGGGGAACTTTATGACTTCAGGCTTATTTATTGAATATCAACCAAGTAACTACTGAATACTGGATTGTAGCTGCGATTGTTTTGGGTTTGTGTAGAAAGCATGGATACATTACAGCTGATATCCTTGCTATAACGCATTAGTGTATTCAAAAAAAGGAGGTGCATGAGTTTAGTCATTGGGTATAACATCATTGAAAGCGAAAGTGAGATAATCTGTTGTGATAGGTCAATATATAAAGCCTCCTGTCGGTGACTCAAAGGCTGATGGTGCGAATCGTTTCATGATCCCTTAGATAATTGATTTTTTCCTCCAGCTTATCCAAAACGACTCTTTGCTTTGATTGGCTGAATGTCATTTAATCACATGACTTTATTTGATGAGTTCTATATCCAGAGTTTAGTTGAGTCTAGTAAACTTTCAGGACAAGTAACAACCGTAGCATTCACTCACTTTTATTTTGAGTTGAACTCGCTCCTTCTAGATTTTATAATCATGTTTACATGTAGTAATCTTTTCTCAGAATTTCGATTAGGCTTGTTCAACGTCAGTAATAATACTAATGCCATTTCTTGCCTTGCATCTCATCATAAGTTACATATTAAATTAATTGGAGAAATTGTTGATATCCTCTTGTGCTATTGAAAATACTTTCAGATCTCAAATGGATATCTGGTTACCACATGATCAGTTACCGAAAATTGTTTTGAAGTAAGTCTATCCAATAAATTATGTTGGTCATCGTAAGAGGGTGATGCTTTAAATGAGTTACTAATCATTGTTAATTCCTTTCCTACCTTGTTTCATTTTACTTTATGTAGTGTTATCCTCGCATCTCTTTTTCTACTTTCAGTTTTGTACTACCTAGTATTATTGAGTAGTGTGATTCATGTTTTCCTGTAATGTGACCTCATCCACAACTTGACTGTTCAATTTTTTTAATCGTATCTTGTTCATAATTTAACATCCCTTTCACGATTCATGGTGTTGATATTTCTTCCGTTATTCCCTGGTGTTCTATTTTACCTTGGACATTTGTTTAGCTGGTGTCTTTACCTCATTGTGGGAATATACTCACGTTTTTATATTCCTTTCTGGTTTACTTGGAATGCAGCCTTGCTGGTTTGTTACTGTTGACGCACTCTCTGCGAGGTGCTTTGTAAGCAATAAAGCCACAGATACCTCACGGTTCGAGGTTTTTAATTTATTATTCACTATTTTTTTATTAATACAGAGTAGTACTGGATTTGACGCGTAACTCGAGTGCCTGGTTTGTTGTTGGAAAATCTCTTGTTCACTCTGGTTCCGAATTGCTTGAAAAGAAATTCAGAACTACAATTATATGAATTCAGGCCATAATAATACGAAGTGAAGTGATAGAATGTGTCAATCATTTCATTTGGAGAGTTGCATCACCTGTGTACAGAATGGTCTCGGGCCAAATCTCAGTTCAGATACAGATGGCTCATTTGGCATTTGTCAACATCTGTGGCACCGACTGGCGAGATATACAATTCGCTGTCAAAGAATGATTACATTGTACTACAGTTCGTTCTATCCTGTCATACGGCTGTCAGACACGGCTACTAGAAGCAAAAGACATAAAGCCATTACAGGTTTTACCCCAGATATCTTCATAGCATCGCTTGTATTTGGAGTGATCACCGTATGAGCAATGTTGAGGTCAGGCGAAGGGTACTAGACAAGATAGGCTAACAAGTCGGTTAATGAGGTTGTGAACCTTTATCTGCTGGGATGACTTGGTTATGTGCTGCTCATGCTGAGTCACTGCCTACCTTGACATGCCATTCCAGAGGAAGCTGGATTAGGTTGCAAGAAGGCCAGTGGCGACGAGAGCGAAACATGACACTAGCCGATGAAGACAAATAGAATCATTGGTCGAGAACTGTAAGTGACATGGCTGAAAATCGGTGACAATGACAGAGGTGTATTCACTTGTTGACGTCCTATAAAGCTTGAATATTCACACTAACCGTCATCTTCAGATTGTTTATTGTCTCACACTACTTTATCTACTTTGATGTCACTGTTATTCTATGCACTTTTTCTGTGTACTTCTGTGAAGTGTGGCAAGTTGATGTGATGCACTTGTATGGAAGACTGTATGTTGATTTTGTTCGTCAGTCAGTCAGTTAGTCAGTCAATCAGTTTTAAGAAAATGGTGTTTGAAAATTTTTTAAATTTTAGTGATGAGTCTTATCATTCCGAGGGTAAGTATGGAGCTATTCTACCTCAAGTTATTACTTCGGGTACAGTGTCTAGGAGAGCTGTTGAACCACTGTGGTTAACAGCTAGTAATGCAGATGAGAATCGATTAGGAAGTGAAATTAAAGCGATGGTTCAATCTCCTCCCGGTTATGTGTTTGTTGGTGCTGATGTTGATTCACAAGAGATGTGGATTGCTGCTTTGATTGGTGATGCAAGTGTTGGTTTTCAAGGTGAGTCAAATTTTGTGTTTCATTGGACATAAAATGTTATTGTATAAAATGCGGAGTTGATGTTGGTGCTCAATCTGAAAAATATTCAAATTTTTTAGCTTGATTGTAAATCATGTTTCAGTTTTACAGATACATCAGACAGACACATAAAAGCAATTTAGAACCTCGCACATAAGTGCATGAGTTCAAACTGCCACAATACACAGCGCCGTGCAAAGAACAAGTGGGCGCAAAAAAGGGTTATATCAGCGTAGGCAAAGGTAAATGGGAGGAGAAGGAATTTGAAAATTAATGTTGATAAAAGTGTTCAAGCTGTAATAGTTGTGTAAGAATGAATTCATCTACGCCACTGTTTCCGGTCTTCAGCCATTGATTTCTATAGTCTCCGCAATCTCAACCGGGTTGTCTACACCTTCCTACACGGATCAGACCAACAGTAGGAAACTTCATGGGCTGCTGCCATGTCTTCGTCTGATCATCTTGAGCCTTCTTCTAACTTATTTCAAACTCTGCTAGCATTGCACATCGAAGGGGTCAGTGGTTTAGGATGTGTAACATGTGTCCAAGGTAAATACATTGCATTTTAGTACAAATATTTATCTGTGATTATATATTATTATAAGGGAGGAGATGTTAACCTCTGACCAAGTACCTACAACTTGTCTTATGTCCTATTGAAGTCTTTTAAATCATTAAAAAGTGACTATATGAACGAATAAGGTTCTGTATTCCCCAATTACCGTATCGTTTTCTCCGTCATGAAGGTAGATTTCGTTGAAAAAACCAGCGACTTTTGATGATGTCTAAGAATTTTTAATGATACTAATAATAATAATAATAATAATAATAATAGTGGCTTTATTCTGAAAGACCTTTCGGGAATACTCTGCAGAACTTCCAGCTTGTCATACAGCATCAATTGCATGGAAATAGTCTATGAATGTACATAATAAAATAAGTCGAACCTACATGTAAAGGATAAGAATATCTGCTCCATCTGCAACCTTCTTGAAAGTACAGAATTAATTTATGTAAGCAGTCATATTGTCAGTTAGATTTGTCATACATAAATAACTAACTGCCAGCTATGTACTCATTATTAAGTTTGCTTTGAAAACAAAAGTTGATTAGTCAATTCATTTGTAACACTTTCTTCCCCGCACAGGATACGAACCAAATATGGTGTTTATATTTAATAGCACGTGCATAAAGTCTTGTATACTTACTGTTGGTCATGGCTGACGACGAACACTTAGAGAGCTTTGATTGAAGAGGATTCTGGTCATGTGATAAAATAACTCCTGGGATTGCAGATGTTTACATAAGTTAATATGTTTGTCCACAACAGTTTCGATAAGAAGGTTTAGAGGTACACCACTAGTTCTGCTGACAATCTTTAAAGTTCTACTCAGTATAGCATAGTGTTTATTTAGCAAGCCAGGAAAGAATGAAGGAGAACAGTGGGGTGGTGGTGGTGGTGTTGGGGGGGGGGGGAGAGGGGAGAGGGAACATGCGAAATGCATGAGTTTATAAAACAGAAGAGGAGAGGCTGAGTTGAAGGAGATACTCTCAGTTTTCGTAATATAGAATGTTGGGTGGAGATATCTTTTGGAAATGAGTAAGATGTGGGATGAACAGGATAGGTGCGAAGAGAAGCATATGCCTAGATGAATCCGACTTGTGACATTCTGTAATACACAACCATCAACGGAAGGGGAATCATGACAACTAAGTAGTTTATATAGGTTATGTTTGCGTTCAGTTGTGCACAATCTGTTGAAGAGGAGACATGTATGGAAACTGTTAGGTCATCAGTATATTTGATGAAATTGATACCTATTGAAGATAGTAATTCATGCAGAAAGAAGGAAAAAAGATAGTGGAAAAGGACGGCTCCTCGAGGAACACCAGTTACAGCAAGAAATGAGATGAAGTGCTTCCCTTCATGAACAGTTTAGTGTTCTCATTCAGGGAAGTCATGTGATCATACGGAATTCAGTATTTGTCCCGACTGGCTTGTCCAGCCGAAGAGGTCTTGAAATAGAATCAAATGCCGAAGTATCCTCTCAAATGACACACCTGACATCTTCGGCATTTATTTCAAGATTATAAGCAATATTGTGATATGAGAGGGTGGTGGCACACAGAATACTTCTGCTCTTATATTGAAATTGATTAGATCTCTGAAAGTCCTCAATGAAGGTTTGGGCACAATTACTATTTGCTTCTGCACTATTTTTAAGAATGGAGAGGTAACTGCGAAGGGACGGAACCTTCTGATATGCACTTGAAGTCTCTGACATATGTATAGGAATTGTCTTGATATCTCCTCAGGCATTTGGTATGGTATTTTCTGAAAACGATGTATTATACATGATAGCTAGTGGGTCACGCAAACTTTCGGCGTTTTTCGTGAATACGAAGCTTAACATACCATCTGAACCCGAACTGTATGAAGTGTTTTGGGATTTGTGACATTTGAAAACATTTTTCTCAGTGAACTCTGGACAACACTCTTGATTGGATATATGTTGACGAAGTGGGATAGGGCAGTTGGGATGGCGTATAAACAAGTTGTTCAAAGGTCAGACGTTTATATGTGTTTCTTAACTAAGGTGTTTTCTAAAAGTGAGGTCTTGAAAAGGTTCCAAATGCTGGGAGAATTTTCGCATGACAAAAGTTTCTGGTTATATAGTAAACTTAGACATTTAATTTCCAGCTTAGTTTCCGACTATGATTGTCGAGCTTGTACGCCTCACTGATGTACATGAGTTAAACTGGTTACAAACACCCCTAACCTTGACTGGATCGCAGTAAAAGTTAAGAGTAGCCACAGTTATATCGTAGGAAAGAATAATTTAATAAGAGGTTATACAGAAGTACTAAACTGCGTTAGATTGAAGTATGCCTAATTTATTTTTATCATTTTGAAAGGTTTCCAGGAACAAATATATTTAGATTATTAATTTAGTTTGATGTTTTATTATTTGGGAATTCATTTTTTCAAGTTGGTATTCATCACAGGCTGATATCATTTGGAGAACCGTTGGAATTCTGGGAGCATAGTTGTTTCATCCTAGTACGGAACTTTCCACAATTACGCACCCATAACCTTGCCAAGAATTGAACTGAGAGCATCCAGGTTCTTCGGCGATCGCTTTAACCATTGAATTCGAATTCACTATTCCACAGTTTCTTACAACTGTTAATTCGTGACATAACGCGACTATCATCCAAGGTCATCAGTCGGCATCCTCTTCATTTTCACTTGGTTGACGACCGTACAGGTTACAGCTTCTGGATGCCCAGAATATTAAGTTTGACTTCTAAATTGGATAGATGTTGTATGATTTCATGTTGTCAAATTTCACTTGAATTCACTCAGTTCAATGTAGTTTGATGAGTGAATGAAGGGTGTCACCAAGTATGATAACTACCTGTACTAATGAACCGAAGCGATGAACATGAGAATATCTTGGATAAAGACTACTGACCGTATTATTTCATTTATTTTTAGAGACATTCTACTTACAATTTATTTTACATTAATTCTGCATGGATCAGTTCAATGGCTTTTTGTTAACTCATCATTTGTTTCTATGAGACTTCGTAGTGGAGCTGTGGCGCAGTGGTTTCGGGTTATGGATTCAGGCCCTGTTCCACCTACCGAAGTTTGGGCAGTCGGCTAGTATCATTAGCTCTTACAGAATAGGTGTGGTTCGTCGCGTACTGGACGGATGTGCGTTTCGTTCGGTATATGAGACTTAAGGTCCCGAAATAAGTACATATTGATTGAAATCAGTCATTACGTAGTTATCCCATTTCTTATGTCTGAAACCATCTGTTTCATTTTTATGAATTATATTGCGTCGTTGGCAAGTAATTCAGTCGTATATGCAGGTGAAGAGTAAACGTTATACTTTGTATGCGATTGTATGACTTTGGGAGGGTCACTTATTGTGTTTGTAGATTGTACATGTATGACGTAACGAGTATATATACGAAATTAATCATGTTAAAGGTTAATCTTAGAGATGAGTTGGAAAAACTCACTTGGCTCAGAAAATTACTACTGGATAACAGTATTACATTAATAATATTTATAGTATGTGCTGGAAAAAAAGTACTAAAATACGTTTGTATGACAATGGTTTGTTTTGAATGAAAGAATATCTGCTTAATACATATTTGACAATTACTCAGTGTTTTCTGTTCATCTCTGTAATTGAGGTTATTTAACATATTTTTTCTAAAGGTATGACTAAGAAATGCATTCAACAATACTTTTCTGTAATTCCATTATTATTGACTTAGTAGATTTATTACATAGTGTAACAGTATTGTTAACTGGATAACGTTTTGGACATAATTTATTGTCCATTATCATATCAAGATGATGATTATCTAGATATGACCGTAGACAATAAATTGTTTCCGAAACGTAATCCAGTTAACAATACTGTTACACTATGTGATAAATGTATTAAATCAATAAAAATGGAATTACATTTTTACTACAGTGCACAAATTTTACTCTTATATTAATGCTTTTCTGTTCTCAGTCTCTTTGTTCTTTTATTTAAATAATGTTTTGTGTTTTTTTCCTGTGTTAGGTTCAACTCCATATGGTTGGATGACTCTTCAGGGTAATAAAGTCGATGGAACTGATCTACATACTAAAATAGCTAAAGAAATGGGTATTAAACGAAGTGAATCAAAAGTGCTTAATTATTCTAGATTATACGGTTCTGGGGTTGAATTTGCCACTCATTTATTAGCAAAATTTTGTAATGTTACTGTAAGTCTTCTGGTGTTTACCATTGTATATACCACTTCATACTCCATACTTTGTTTTCATATTATCATCTAGACTTTATATCTCAGTAATCAGGAACTGTTCATGTCACTATCTGACTCACACTTTCGGTTATCCTAGTTAGTACTTGATTCACCAGGCTTTAATTGTCTTTTTCTCCGTAGAGTATGCAACTCGTCTTGTGCATGCTACTCGATTACCCTGGTGAGTAGTATTAGGTGAAGTGGATTTATACTGCTGAGCTACTAGTTAGTTGTAGAGTAGTTGTGATACTATGCCGTAGTGAACAAATTATGTGACTTCTTTTGATCAAACTATTACTTAGCCTTTATTTCAAGGTAGTTTTTATCACTAGCTGACAAAAGTTAAAGAACTGTTGAAAACCTTGGAGCACGAAATAAATGTTTCGTCCTGACTTTAGACTTCTCAAAATTACACACACCCTCGTGACGCCGTGATGCGTTGTATTCAGACCTGTCCTGCCATTCGGCAGTTGGGAGTGGCAGTGAGATGGCTGCTCACCAATGACATAAATTAGTGATCGCTAACTGACTGAAGTACCAAAATGTTGAACCACTGGGCTCCAACCCAGTAATTGAATGATGATGTGTTCATCTTAAGATCCGGTGCTCGATTCTTGACAGTGTCGTAGATGGGTACTGACAAGACGTCTCAAAGTAGTACGAAACTGGTGTCAGCCCTTGGTAGAATTTCATTGAAATCAATGGACCCTCATTGACATTCCACCAAAATTATTTAATAATTTAAAATAATTGATCTCTGATAAATTTAAACAACGTTATGAGAAGACGAAGATTATCTCAAATATTTGAGAATATTTGTAGCTCGGGTGGATGGTCTTGGTTGTAATGGGTTCTCTGAGCCGGGTTGTTTAATCGATTAAACAACCCGGCTCAGAGAACACATTACAACCAAGATTATCTCAAATATGTGGTGTATTAGCGCTATATATTTCAAACAATCTGATTACACGTGGACTTGTCGAACCACTTATCGGAAAATAAACGAAAAGGGTCAATTAAGTCAATAAGGAAACATGGGAATAGGAAGGACAGAAAAGAAGCAAAATCTAAATCACTCAATTAAAATCAATAAAACCAAGATAGGTTTAACATAAGTACTAATTGTTTTCGAAAATATATAAAGGGGCTGTGAAATTATGGATACTAAGAACTTCAATATATATAAGCGCTTGACACTGACCTCTCTTATGTATTACTTTAAAAGCTGTTTTTATGTCTACCCTACGACTAGTTTCTAATATGTATTTAGCAATACATGAGGATGGACATTTTTCACCTGCACTTATCGACTCTGTTTACGTCGTTTGACTTTAAAGCCTCTAAAGTACACGTTCAACCACCCTTAACTCCTACCTGCGTATGTGTTCACATATATGATTCAACCGTTTATGTATTGTAACATAGAGTTCATCTTCTCTATAACGATGACCTTGGCTGCACAATGTTTTACAGATGACTTATCTAAGCCTTTTCCTCATAATGAAGCTATATGAATTACCTCTAAATGGTGATGAGATGACATTTTTCTTAGGAACAAAACACTGCATACTTTTCAATGCAACATAACTTTTGCACCTGTTGATAAATTTCTATGAGTAGCTATTTTGTATCAATGTTGTCATCAGTACTTTGGTTTCTTCCTTTTCCTTATCATCAGTGCATATGCAGTTTATCCTGTTGAATAAGCCTCTAACTAAACCACTTTTATATTGGATTGGGTAATAGGTGTGGAAACTAAGATATTGGCCGTATCCACGTAGTCTGCCTATAAATCGACCTTCTGATCGAGCCATCCTTTCATCAATTAAGCTCTATGTTTGAGAATGTCAGTTGATTTTTCTTCTCTCGCTTATAAGTTAAGGCCAATGTGATTTTGAGGCGTGTTTATCTTCCATAACAGGCACATTTCACTGTTAGGCTTTTCATATATAATGATAGATCATTTTATAGAGTGAAACTCTTCCGTCAACCATGTTTTCAGTATATCGAATGAATATATTGGCTAGCAACGGTCATAATAGACTACCTATCATGAAACCATCAATCTTTCGAAAGCATTCACCCTTGAATATGAATTGAACTTAATCAGTGCATAACAATAATAAACCTTTAAAAAAAAATTGAAAGTGATAGGAAATATAAGACTTTTTTTTGAGGGGGTTGTGGAGATTTGGAAATATTTCAAGTTGTTATTCATCGAAGACTGACATCAGTTGGAGGAACAAAGGAAACCTGGGAGCACTGGACAGCTGTTTCGTCCTAGTATGGGGCTCCTCAGCAGTGCGCACCCACGACCCCACCAGCAGGGATCGAACCCGCGACCTTCAGGTTCCGCCGCCAGCGCGTTACCATTGAGCCACTGGGTCAGAATCCAATGCTCCATATTTCCAACTTCTGTTAGCTCACGATATAGCGCAAACCGCCACCCAATGTCATCGTTGAGTATTTGTCTTCACGGCCATCAGGCTTTGACTCCACCGGTCACGACTTGTCATTGGAACTTCGGGAATACTTCTCGAAGCTGGTCACCAATGAGCACCAGTTCAATTAAATTTTTTTTTTTGAGGGGGTTGTGGAGATTTGGAAATATTTAAAGTTGTTATTCATCGAAGACTGACATCAGTTGGAGGAACAAAGGAAACCTGGGAGCACTGGACAGCTGTTTCGTCCTAGTATGGGACTCCTCAGTCTTCGATGAATAACAACTTGAAATATAAGACTGTTACAAGAAATATAGTTACACAACATCAATTGTTTTTACCAGCTTTACATCAATAAAAAAAGAATTTACAATCTTTATTTTACAGCCAGAACAGGCAAGTTTAAAAGCAAAACAACTTTTTCGAATTACTAAAGGACAACGTACTACTATAGATTCTTATCTTGATAATAATTCATCTTCTATATGGCAAGGTGGTAGTGAATCGGCTGTATTCAATCAATTGGAATCAATTGCTCGTAGTTCTAATCCTTGTACACCATTTTTAAATGCTCAACTTACTCGTGCATTGAATCCAAAACTTGTCAAAAATGATGTAAGTAAATATTAAAAGTATCTTTCTTTTTTTTCTTCTTTATTATATTCTTTCATTGAACATGTATTTTCTTAGATATGATATGATTCAGATCTTTCTTTCTTTTAAAAACTTGACTTAGTGTTACCTAGTAACAATTTTTTTGAAACTAGTGTTTATCTTCAGTGGTAGTAATAGTATTAGTTATATTATACTGAACTGTTAAACACTAATTCTTACTGAGTAAGGGGAGGAGGAAATGAGAGCTTCTAGGCTGTCGTGGAACCAGGTTCAAAAGATCTCAGAGAACAGAGGTCACTAGAGACGTGCTACTGAAGCCCTATGTTCCATTAGGAACCCAAGGGACTAATAATAATAAATAATAATAAGGGGATAAAGTTATAACATTATCACTTTGAAAACATCATCATTGATGATATTTTTGTATGTAAAGCATCCAGGCATAACTATAACTTTTGAATGTAAATTCAATCATTCAGAAAGAAATTTTAACTCTTAAAGTGAATATCTAGTTGAGGTGTAAAAATTTGAAAAAAATTAAAAAAAAGGTTAATGATTAGTTCCCGATACTTATTATCTTTAAAGATCAGAATGTGATTTACATCAACTTAGTGTTCATCTTGTTTTAGATTTTATCCGCCTTAACTGTCTTTATTGATCATTGTTGAAATTTTATTCGCTGTATATTTTTTTAATTTCATCGTTATTAAGACCCTAGATTCTCCCCTTTTAGTGTCACTTACATTTTTATAGTACTATGTGACTGTGTTGAAGAGAAATATAAGTTAGTGATGTTAGCTTTATCATTGGACTAAAATTACGTTTATCTCCAAATCATATCAGTGGGATATCACTGGTTAAAGTATGGGTTGTATAATAATTGTAATTTTACCTAAGAATACTGTCTACATCAAGATCGCTTCTTATTTGATCTCAGGTGTCTTTGTAGCATTGTTTGCGTTCGATGGAATCACCGTGGGAGCAATGCTGATTTTAGGTGAAAGGTACTAGGTAAGAGACAAGTTGTGTGATTAGGTTGTGAACGTTAGTCGACTGGGATGGGGCATTCTGATCCACCGCCTACCTCGACATGCTATGCCAGGGGAAGCTGGATTAGATTGCAAGAGGATTGATGGTGACGAGAGCAAAATATGACAGCAGTCAATTAAGTGCCTGCCTGTTAGTGTGAGTCGTGTTGGGAGATGTATACTGTTTAGTTGGGGTCTGTGAGACAGAAAGAATCATTGGTCGAGAACTGTAAGTAAGTGACATGGCTGAAAATCGGTGACAATGACAGAGGTGTATTCACTTGTTGACGTCTTCTAAAGCTTGAATATTCACACTTACCGTTATCTTCAGATTGTTTATTCTCTCACACTGCTTCATCTACTTTGATGTCACTGTTATTCTATGCACTTTTTCTGTGTACTTCTGTGAAGTGTGGCAAGTTGATGTGATGCACTTGTATGGAAGACTGTATGTTGATTTTGTTCGTCAGTCAGTCAGTTAGTCAGTCAATCAGTTTTAAGAAAATGGTGTTTGAAAATTTTTTAAATTTTAGTGATGAGTCTTATCATTCCGAGGGTAAGTATGGAGCTATTCTACCTCAAGTTATTACTTCGGGTACAGTGTCTAGGAGAGCTGTTGAACCACTGTGGTTAACAGCTAGTAATGCAGATGAGAATCGATTAGGAAGTGAAATTAAAGCGATGGTTCAGTCTCTTCCTGGTTCCATGTCTTTTCCTGTAGTTCGAAAATCCTTTTGGAATCATTTTAATACGTCAATATCATTTTTTTGACTATGATAACATGGACAGGGTTCACTGGTTTGGTGTATAAACTCTGCAGTTCTACAGGAGGTTATTTTGTGTAGTTTGAGTGGTATTTAACACGAATGAAGATTTCGCGGGTTGAATGATTCCCCAATGTAATTAGGCATCTTAATCGATACAGCCTAAATTGTATAAACGCAATTCTGTGGGAAAGTCAAAGGAATTTTATCTTTTAAATGAAATAAAACATTTTTGAGTGTTGGTTGTCTTATAGAAGGCTGTAATTCGGTGTTTTCCTTAAAGTCTGTAGATCTTGAGTTGTACCTTGGTGGGATGGTAGAAATCATGTATTAATGGAGGACTCAACATTTGATTTTCCTCTTTGATTCTTCTGCTTATAGTTTGTAATCTTTTGAACTGTTATTCTCAAAGTGGTTATTGGGATGTAACAAATCTATTATCCTATTTGTCTGTCATCTTCATTCACAGCGAGCTTCGTGGCCTTCCTGAATTTACTTAAGAGTGAGCGAAAGTTTAGCACTGTGTGTATGTGCTGAGTGGAAATCCAAGCATCGATCTGAATGTACTGGTTTGCGATAAAACGATAAATTTAGATTTCCATTTTCATTCCTTTTAACTGAGCAGTCTAAAAATGATAGTTCATCATTTTCATATTCACATATTAATTTAATATATGTAGAATGAATGTTAATTAATCTTTAGAAAACATCTTAAGGGTTGGTCTTTTTAACATGACAAATGTATCATCTACCTATGTGAGCCCAAGTATGTGGTTTGCAAGTATAAGGGACACCGGAGGAGCGCATTGCTTCTCCATTTTCTCTAAACGTGAAAAGTATCTAATTTAAACAAAATTTGAGTGCTTTTATGATGAGGCTGAGGTTCCAAGGAGATCTGTCTGACAACGTATAATCACACTTAAGCAATTCACTATGAAATACAAACATTTTTTGAATTAGAATACTAGTACGTAGTGTTAACGTTCCCGAAAGTTGAATACTGTTTTTCAATCATCATTTCTAGCAAGATTCAAAGTTATCATCTGACCTTCCGTAAGCGACTTCAATACTTGCTGATCAGATCGATGAGGCCAAACAACAAATGGGTGTTTTTCTGTCTTAATCTGCCAAAGTTTGGATAGTTTCAGCAGTTTACTTATTTGAGGAAGATCTTTCAAACCAGAGCTCTAATAGGTTAGGATTTTATTGAACAGAATCACTATTTAGTGCTCACGCCCACTAGCTGAATACTTTTATTCAAAAGAAGCTTAAACACAACACTATTTTCAATAAATGTGATATTTTACTTCTTCCTTTAATAATCGCTCAATGTCCTTTTCCTGAATTTCCTGTTACTTTCGTGTTTTTGCGATTTCAGATTCACACTACTTACTATCAATAAGTAGCATAACTATGTGGTTCCAAAATGGTAATTGATCCGCATCTGTTGAAGTTGTATTTGGCTCATCATCTCGACAGTCTAGCATATTGATATTTTCTCACTCTTGCTCCCTTGAGTTGTTTCACTTTTGCCCAATCTCCCCTCTAACATTTATCAGTCTTTTTTTTCACTGTGTGAATCTGCGCTTTTTTGATACCTTTTGCTGTGGTTTGCTTTGGACTAAATACACTTCCTGTGGATTAATTACGGTCAAGATAAACCCACAGACATTATATGATCATAGGCTTGTGATTTGTGACAGTTGTAGTTATTGACCACTAGAGAACCGTGTATGTGTGTGTGTTTTGGACTTCATGTATGTTTTGAAAATTTAGTTTTGTTTGCCGATATACTAGTTAGTGTTTTTGGCTTCTGATAAATGTTATTTAAATGTCTTCTTTTTCGTTAAAAAAATTTAGTTTCTGCCTAGTCGTGTAAATTGGGTTGTACAAAGTTCTGCTGTTGATTATTTACACTGTATGCTTGTTTTAATGCGTTGGCTGATTAACAAGTTCAAAATTCCCGCACGTTTATGCATAAGTATACACGATGAATTACGATATATCTGTCCAAAACCGTGTATTGATCAAGTTGCACTTGCATTACAAGTAAGCTGGTTATGAATTCTGTTTAATTACTGAATTATTTACTGATATTTGTAGCATTCTGTTGTTTTAATGGATTGAATTGATCGGTCTCTGTTTATCTATGGGTTCATATTTGAATATCTCGATATTGTCTAAAGATTCATTATGTTTTAACTTGCTTGAGGCTTAAAGCGACAGCTGTTGGGTTCGACTGTCAATGTGTGCATTCGGCTGAGGAATCCTACATGCGCATTATGCATTCCACAACTGCTAGCCATAACTAAGTAAATTGCAACATGCGGTTGTTTTCAATTCCCATTAAGAAGTATGTAAAAAGATTTCAACGAAGAAAACTTTATTCATGATGATTTCTTTCTCATGTCTGTACACTCATATTTATGTGTAATTTAATGTGGGTAGTAACCAATTCAATCTGGAGGTTTGAGGAGATTTATTAGTCGATTTCAGACTGGAATTCATCATGAACTGACATCAATTGGAGGAACATTGAAAACCTTGGAGAACTTGGCATCTACTTCGTCCTGATATGGGACTCTTCAGCAGTGCACACCCACGACTCCGCTGGGTATCGGATCTCCACAGACCTCCGAACATAATTAATCTATCGCTCACTGGTGAATAGCTTCGAAAAGTGATTTCCAAAGTTTGTATGAAAAATGATGATCAATGGAGTCAACCGAGTCGAACATGAAGACATTTATTCAATGACGACATTGGTTGTAGGTCGCGCTATATCGTGAACTGACAGAAGTAGTAATGTGGAGCATTGGATTCCGACCGAGTGGCTTGACGGTGACATGGTGGCCACGAAAGTTGAATGTCCTGGGTTTCTATCCTAAGCGAGATGGGGCCATGACGATGTGATGGGTATGCACTGGTGATGACTCTTACTATAGGACGAAACAGGTGTTGAGTGCTCGAAGTTTTCAACTGATGTGTCCATGATAAATTTTAGCCTAAAGTCAATCAGCAATTTTATTTAATTTGTTTTATTTTTACAAGAATTTGATTCGTGAAGTGAATAAGTATGAGCAAGAATAATATTTCATAAATCATTGAACCAATTGGGATATATAGGCAACAAAAGATCAGCGATGCAAGATAGATGAATAAGTGAATGAATATGCTGTGCTTTCATCTAAAGGTTGTTAAGTGAAGATTATGGGGAGGCAAGAAATGTGAATACCAGTCAAGTCATATGCGATAGTGTAGAGAGATACCTGAAAGATCTGTACATAAGATAGTGTAGAGGTTGGTTTTCGACTCTTGCAACAGAACATCATAAAAAACGAGTACCCAACAAAATTCATAGAGCGTAACAGTGAGTAGATTAAACAACATTTAGACATGATCACTGTAACAGTGAAGAAGGTATATGCATGCATTTAGGATTCCAAGAGGATGAAGCAGATGTTCTTCAGAATGACTTAACCGTATCGATAAGCAAAGCGTTTTATACCACCTCTCTATGAATAGCCCGTTCCAGCTATAAGTTGGTGTATCTTAATGTAAAAGAAATGTTACGTCGATTTTCAAATACAATGCATATTTACATATCTACCTGCTCTTATGAAACCAGGTACACAACGCAGTCATGATGAAACGTTTTTCAATGACTGGGGGTTATAAAACCACCTAAGTGTTGTCGAGTATTGGAGAGCGTTAACATTCATTGACCCTTCAACAAGTAGCTGATTGTAAAGATACAACCTCCGAGTCACTGGCTGACATTACCTACATGAATTCGTGACGCGTTACTATTGCTTGATCGTACTCACACTGACAATCTAGTCAGGACTTCTCATACCAATCCAATTCTAACTGAATTAGAGAGGGAGAGCACAATATTGATTATCATTTTGACTATCTGAGATATTCGTGGTTTGGCAGACTTGTTTTGATATTGGGTGTTTTTTGAAGATGAAATGAAAATTTGGACCGCAGCCAAATTCGAACCAGCGACTACCGGTTCCTGACTAGGTAGCCAGTGTGAGTACGATCAAGCGATAGGCACGCATCACGAACTCACATGGTAGTCAGGCAAGACCCATGGTGTTTGAATGGACATAAAACGCTGGTCGGACCTCGTAGCTCAGTTGGCAAAGCATCGGGCCGGGAACTCGGTGGTCGCTGGTTCGAATCCGACCCCGGTCCGGATTTCATTTTACCTTCAATCATCACCCAGTATCAATACTAGTCTGCTAAACCACAGGTATCTCAGATAGTCAAAATGATTATCAACACGGGAAAATAAAAACTATCGAAGTGTACATGCACATAGCTACTCTGTACTACCGAAACATTTGTGATCTATAAATAAAATGAACGTAGAATCTCATGCAGAAAGGCATCCATTCAAGTTTCAGCACTTCCCATCACCATATAAAGAACAAGTGAGTAGAAAAGGAGTCATATCAACAAAGACAAAACTGTGTGGTAGGATCAAGAACTCGGAATACCTGGTTAGTGAGAATGATAAAGCTTTAGAAGACACCAAAGAGTGAATACATCAGCGTCATTGTCACGAATCCTCGGCAATGTCACCAACGATCTTCATGTACTGATTCCTATTATCTCAACGACCCTAACGAGGTAGTTTAAACGTCTCTACATGGTTCAGACCAGCATTCGGACACTTCATCGACAGCTGCCACGTTTTCGTCTTGCCACCTTGAGCCTTCTTCCAGCCCAGTCCTACTTCGACTAGCATTGCACATCGAGGTAGTAGTCGCTCGTTATCCACAACACATGCCCAAACCAACTCAGTGAAGGTCTACAACCTCAGTTACTAACTTGCCTTTCTTGTCTAGTATACCCTGCCTAACCTCGACATTGTTCCCACGGTAATTGCACCACACATAAACTGTGTTGCTAAGACACATATCTTCACATTTTCAACATTTAACGGCCACTCATTGGGTACTGTCACTCACAGCCCTTCTAAGTTTGCTGGATTGAGATTTGATTGTCTTAAAGACGCACGAGGATAAGCTATATCACCGGTACCAAAACACTGCAGCACAGCAAGAGGTGTGTTACTTTTCAGGACAACCGTCTCTAATTTCTCCTCTCTTTAGAGAAGACATCATAAGCACGGCAGTACTGGTCACCCATCGTAACCGCCTTACAGATGTTACACTCCGTCCACCAAGCACTACGACTTCGCTCTCAGACGCTTGCGATAGCATAGCTATTTACACCACAACGGTAACTACTTTTCATCCATCCAACAGGTATTTCTGACGTGGTACAAACTAGAGAGAACAAGCGTTCCTCCAACATAGTTCGTTGGATCATTCAGATATAAAAACCTGACCGCAATATCAAGATAGCAACTGTCCATTAGGACCTTGACGATACATAATATTAAACTGAAACTATTTTTGCAGAAACAGTTTATACAGTCCATTTCGTCACTGCAAAGCTGGCATACAATACTGACCATAGGTTTCACAAAACTAACTCCTTATTTTCATTGCATTTCGTTCATTTTATTCCATCATAACATTTTATCTTTTCCTCTGTGTTATTGAATTTCGCTTGACTGATATTCATACTTCTTGCCTCTCCATAATCTTCACTTAACAACCTTTAGATGAAAGCACAGCATATTCATTCACTTATTCATCTATCTTGCATCGCTGATCTTTTGTTGCCTATATATCCCAATTGGTTCAATGATTTATGAAATATTATTCTTGCTCATACTTATTCACTTCACGAATCAAATTCTTGTAAAAATAAGACATTTATAAAGCCCTGAACATTAGGTTACATGCAATTATGTTTTGAACGGAAGTTCTAAACTAGTTTACAGTGATTTGTAGTAGATGTTTGTTCATGACATAACTAATCAGTTATTAATTTGGCCATTTGATATAGAGTTTTAACAGAATGGACTGGTAAAATGACTCAATCATGAATCAATATGGATTAAAGTAGCTGGGTCATTTGTTGTCTAATTCACAACATCGATTGAAGTTGTTTTTGTTGGAATGCTAAAAGACTCGGTTGATCATTTGTACGATATTTAGATTCATATTTGCCTGCTATTTTGCTGTCAACAACTGAATATGGCAATTGATGTTTTCTAAAGCTTTAATGTTTGCGCTAATCGCTATCTTGAAATTATTCATTGTTTCACACAACTTTGTCTACTTTGATCTCAGTCTTCTTCTATCAACCTGTTGTTTGTATGCCACTGTAAAGTGTGGCAACTTGGACCGATACACTTGCGTCTTTGTCTATTCAGCGAAGGTTCGAAATGTCACCATTTTGAGTCTAAAATGTAATAACTCACAAGTGAATATTCGTATTATTATTATACGTTGGATTGTATCTCATGGGATGTCATTTGTGAAAATGTTACTGGAATGTTCTATATAGTAAAGTTGACTAAGACATAAGTTACACTTGCCCAGACATCATATATGCCCTAAGACGTAAAAATCTTTATTTAAAGTACGATTAGATTATAAAAAGTTAATGGATGATCGTATCGATAGGTAGCATCTATTCATATATTTATGACTATTGATTTGCGATGTGTAAGAAAGCGTAGACTGTCGTAACCTCAGGGTCTCTGAGATGTTAGGATTCAGCATCAACTGGTGCTTGTGAATTCTCTTTAAACCGATTATACCAACTAAAATGCTTCCATTGTCATATTCCAAAATCTTGGATATCTTAATTAATCTTATTCGACTGAAAAACAACTATAATCTAGTCATAATTGGACAATGAGATGAGCTATACGATTTTTGACTTGTTATGTATATGAGACTGTGTGATGATTGAAGATGAAATAAAAATTCAAACCACGTACTACCGCGTGATCGTACTTACACTGACTACCTGTTCAGAACTTCTCATCCAAATCTAACTGAATTAGAGAGGAGGGAGCATCATATTGATTATCAGTTTTACTATCTGTGATAGCCGTTGTTTGGCAGGCTATTATTGATACTCAATGATTGAAGATGAAGTGAAAATTTGGACTGTGGCGGGATTGATAATGTTATTTTATTATTAGAACACAAACGTGGTACAACAAGGGCACCAAAAAGTGCGCCACAAAATAATCTGACAACATTATAAAGATACAAAGTGATGAGAAGTGGATAAAGAGAAAAACACGAGAAGAACGATTCGAAGGGCAGTCCAGTAAGGTACATTTGAACGAAACATTCGTTACTTTTCAGCAGTTAAAGATAAAAGAAAGCTACAGCATGACCGCCACTGATTTGCATTCTGAGCTGTATCTGATAACGTCTAAAGCCACTGAGTTACGTGATCTCTCGGACCTCACCCAGAGAGTCGTGATGCACTAACAGATGCTAACGCGATGCAACTATCCTTCATCCCATGGTGCCAGGTCATACACTGACCACCCCTTCGCTTCTTCCATCCGGTCCCACAGTGTGGAAGGCTTTATAATGATATGCGTAACACATGTCCAAGCCGCCGAAGCTGGTGTTTCAAGATAACTTCACTTATTGCATGACGATCTCTATCACGCCCAAACACAAGCTGTCGTACCTTAGAATTACTACTGGATACGTGCAATCCTATGGAGACAACTATGATTGAACACAGAGTCCTCGGATATCCTCAGCTCAGAGAGGCCAGACTTCACAAGCATAAAGCAAAACTGGTCGCACCGAAGCGTTTTAGATTTTGATTATTTCTTTGAAGAAGCCTGGACCAGAATTCCTTGCGAAACGTTAGAATTTCTAAGTTGGAACACGCTAAGATTTATCTGAATATAACTTATATCTAATGTCAACTTTTCACTGGGGGGCTGAATATCTGTTAAACAATCCGGTTGAATCTTGACTAGGATTCATATATAAATATCTTTTCTCTAATCATACGTATTGTTGGTTAAAACATTTCTGATTGCCTTGGTTTGGTATTACAGTATTTCATCTGATATGTTGACAACAGAATTTGAAAACCGCTGATTAGAATTCAGAGTTAATGTTTAGTTCGCTTTTATGTCGACGAAATTTCCCTATTTCCCTATGTTTAAAGTGCATATTTAAGAAATAATATATATGTGCATATCGCGTTTAAATTGTACTCTCACTGAAAGAAATTATTTTGGTAAATTTCGAAATGTTCTTTATTTCGTTTTCGTTCACTTATTTACAGATTAGTAATCTATTGACGAGAGCATTTTTTGTTTATCAATTGGGTATGCGTGATCTGCCAGAAGTAAGCATGTTCATCAGACCTTAGTGTTTTACCAACTATTCTATTTCAATATTTATTTATCATTATTTGCCCTTTGGGTTCCTAGTGGAACATACGGTTTCAGCAGCATATCGCCGTTCCACTCTGTTCTCTGCAGTCCTTTTAACCTGGCTCCATGACTACACAGAAGCTTTCATTTCTTCCTCACACGATCTCCTCTACTCTACCCTCGGACACACCCCACTCGTCGTTTCCAATTTGGCCTGGCGCGTGATGTCCCCAATCAGTCTTCTCACTGTATCCATCTCCACTCTCTTCTACATATTTGTTGGGTGATGGGTTCTTGGTTGGTTCGTTGTCAACCAGCCAGAGTTCCTCCTTGCTTATTCTTTCCGGCCATCCATCTGATCTTCAGTATCGATTGTTACGGGCAGCTGTTGATGAATGTGTGCAGTTTGTTGGAAATGCTTTTCGTAACGCGCCAAGTTCCTGAATCATATAGAAGCACTGACTTGACTGGATTAGTGTTGAATATCCGGATCTTGTTCACGCGTTATGCTGAGTGCAGTAGACCTCCACACTGATTTCAGATTAATGCAGGAAGGTCTGTATGGCTGTCTTTCCAATCCTGATTGCTTTGACATCCTCATCTGTTCTGGCACCTGTAGTTGAAACTATGCTGCCTATCTAGGTAGGTAGGTGAAAGAGACTACTTCCTTTAAACTTCTCCCGTTCGTGGTGATTTGTGCTTGTTGTTGTTGGTTGGGTATCTCCCTCACCTTCTATCTTCTCTACGTGCACCCGAAGGAAGTTCGTCTTCGCTGTCTCGCCCCTTCTGCCAACTTGTTGGTTTTTGCCTGTAGATCTTCGAGTTTGTGCAACAAGAAATTAGACATAAATCATCGGTGGAATCCAAATCGTTTAGGGTCTTTTCATCGGTCAAACAGCGTATGCCCCTCTTTTTGCTCCTCATAGTTTGTTGCATGATCCAGTCCACCACAATCGGGAGTATATTTCAATATTTAGTTCACTATAAATATCTTATTGAATCTATAATCATCTGTTAACATAAATCTAATGTCTTTTTCATATCACATGATTTCTATTTTCGATGACTTTTTAAGATTTAAAAGTTTGTTTTGTGTATAAGCGGTTCCCAATTATTTGTACTCACTCTTATACTTTTTAGGATGTACACTGGTAATAATAATCATGTGTAATTAGTCTTACTTCGTTTAACCTTAAATTGTACAGTTGAGAAATAGCTAAGAGACATGTTTTCTCTTCAAATGTATAATATCTCAAATTTCTCCTAAAAACAGTTCGAAAGAAAAGATGAGATTGCTCAATGCATTTAGTTGTGTTTACTTACTGCTAATCTTATCCAGTGGCTGACTGGTTGACCCACTGGCCACGGAACCCGAAGGTCCTCAGTTAGATCTCTGGCACGATGAGGTGTCATGGGTGCGCACTGGTGAGGAGTCCCATACTAGGTGTAAACAGCTTTCCATTGCTCCCAGTTTTCCAATATTCCTCCAAATGATGTTTGTCCTTGATGAATTTCAGCCTAAAATGAATCAATAAATCTCCAGATAGAATTAATCTATCGCTCACTGGTGAATAGCTACGAAAAGTGATTCCCAAAGTTTGTATGAAAAATGATGATCAATGGAGTCAACCGAGTCGAACATGAAGACATTTATTCAATGACGACATTGGTTGTAGGTCGCGCTATATCGTGAACTGACAGAAGTAGTAATGTGGAGCATTGGATTCCGACCGAGTGGCTTGACGGTGACATGGTGGCCACGAAAGTTGAATGTCCTGGGTTTCTATCCTAAGCGAGATGGGGCCATGACGATGTGATGGGTATGCACTGGTGATGACTCTTACTATAGGACGAAACAGGTGTTGAGTGCTCTAAGGTTTTCAATGTTCATATTCGTACGACTGTACTTGATTTGCTACACTTCCTTGATTTTTTTAACGCAAATAATAGATTTTTTTATTTCTTCTGGGTGTTGATTTAAAAATTTATACTACTTTATGAATAATTCAGCAAAGAAAATTTTCTTTTTGACCAGTCTTTTTCAGCAGCTATGCAACCGTATTTATGATTATGACAACTAAAAACAGATCCGACTATCATTGGCTAATCGGTCAACTCTGTGTCATCCAGACGGAATGCTCTAGGGTGATTTTTTGGATCAGTAGTAGAGTTAGCGAGCGATTGTATAATCAAGTATGTATCCGGAAAATATACAGTTGATTAACGTGATGACTAATGGGTTAAAAAATAAGCAGGCCAAAAGTAATAATACTTATTATAATCAGTGGTCTGGGTAAAGTATTGTGAGAATTTCAACAGAAGCTATGAGCTAACCTGTTAAGACGTGAGAAAGTAAACCACTGCGTAATAAGTAGTGATAATCAGTTACTAAGCGTAAGATGTATAGAGAACTCAGTCTTCAGTCGTTGTATTGCGAACACCCGTACTATACATAAGTGACAAATCTGTACTCCTTTCGAGCTGTTTGACTTGAAAGAAGACCATAGGAAAACGACATGACTACAATGTTCAGTCTTTCCAAACGCATCTGCGAGCTCCAGCTTACGTGCCTGTCCACGGTAGAACGCGGGTCAAGCAATAGTTTTGTCTTCGATTATTTGGTCAACTCTGATCAAATACAGTTGTATAGCTGTTGAAAATGATTTGTCGGAAGGAAAATTTCCTTCACTTAATTTTGTGTTTTCGAATATCTCTATCGACACTTTTGAAAGGAAGACCAGAGTAAGACAAAACTGCCTACTATCACCGATGATCTTCCTGATTGTAGTCGACTGTAATGGATGATGCAACAAACTATGAGGAGCAAAAAGAGGGGCATACGCTGTTTGACCGATGAAAAGACCCTAAACGATTTGGATTCCACCGATGATTTATGTCTAATTTCTTGTTGCACAAACTCGAAGATCTACAGGCAAAAACCAACAAGTTGGCAGAAGGGGCGAGACAGCGAAGACGAACTTCCTTCGGGTGCACGTAGAGAAGATAGAAGGTGAGGGAGATACCCAACCAACAACAACAAGCACAAATCACCACGAACGGGAGAAGTTTAAAGGAAGTAGTCTCTTTCACCTACCTACCTAGATAGGCAGCATAGTTTCAACTACAGGTGCCAGAACAGATGAGGATGTCAAAGCAATCAGGATTGGAAAGACAGCCATACAGACCTTCCTGCATTAATCTGAAATCAGTGTGGAGGTCTACTGCACTCAGCATAACGCGTGAACAAGATCCGGATATTCAACACTAATCCAGTCAAGTCAGTGCTTCTATATGATTCAGGAACTTGGCGCGTTACGAAAAGCATTTCCAACAAACTGCACACATTCATCAACAGCTGCCCGTAACAATCGATACTGAAGATCAGATGGATGGCCGGAAAGAATAAGCAAGGAGGAACTCTGGCTGGTTGACAACGAACCAACCAAGAACCCATCACCCAACAAATATGTAGAAGAGAGTGGAGATGGATACAGTGAGAAGACTGATTGGGGACATCACGCGCCAGGCCAAATTGGAAACGACGAGTGGGGTGTGTCCGAGGGTAGAGTAGAGGAGATCGTGTGAGGAAGAAATGAAAGCTTCTGTGTAGTCATGGAGCCAGGTTAAAAGGACTGCAGAGAACAGAGTGGAACGGCGATATGCTGCTGAAACCGTATGTTCCACTAGGAATCCGAGAGGCAAATAATAATCTGATAAATATGTCCATCGGCTTTTTTTAAGGAAATTTTTTATCGGACTATTTTGGAGTTTTTGAAAAAAATTCAAATTTATGTCTCTTTTGTTGTGGTTCTGATGTATGTATTATCTACCGTACAGTTATGCTGGTTCTGTAGAAAAACACGCTATATCAAGTTATATTTTAATGATTTGACAAGTGTACAATGAATCTGTATGCTGCAAAATGCTACTATAAAATGCATGCACTATTGAAGCTATGAAAAACAACTGAATACCTTGTATACCCCATAATTATATATTCGCTCTGCAACGCGTTTATTTTTTACAGTTACTCTGATGAGTCTCTGTTATTCAATGGTGACAATATTTCGTTCACTCACTTCTTATCGATTTATTATTTCAACTTATCAATTAAAAACTATGACTAAATGATCTTAAGGACTTAACTTTCAAAGATTGAATCCTGTGTGGTTTTGAACTTCACCCCCATCTACATTGACCTGGGCTTGTGAATGTAGTATCATACATGCTTTCACACAGAAAATGTAACGTTTAGCTTAATACATATAATTTGTACCGTTTAGCTGAATCGTTCTGCCATATTCTATTAACTAAGGAGTGTTTAATGACACTCTAACCTATGATTGTGAAAGTTTATTCTTCTAGTCATTAGTAATAGAATTATAATGCATCATCGATGAGGTCAACAAGTAGCCTATCACCAATCTCTTTTTTGGAAAAGAATATTGCTATCAGTTTTAATGTATATGTAATATCCGATTAGTCAAATTTATACATATTATTACATTACAAATTTCTTGATTCTGCATTCACAACATTTGTAGTATAATGAATCTACTCTCATATGAAGAGTGAGTAATTGAATTACCTTTGAATTTGTCGATTTTCTGGTAGTTTTGGTGAGCTTCAAAACTTTTGACTCATTTTGTGTGTTTGTGGGGATTTATTGATTTTATGTCGGTATATATCATAAACTGACATACGTTGGAGGAGGAACATTAGAAATCCTGAATCATTGGACGTTCAGGTTTGACGACTAGCACATAGCCATTGAATGAACCACTGAATTGGAATCTTCTAATGAACTATATTTCTAACTTCAATCAGTACACAATATTATAACGCCACCGTCACCCTCCAACTGATGTCAGTCTATGATGAATACCAACTTGAAAACTTTTGATGTTAGTCCAGATGTCATCCTTGATACCAATTCACGTGATGATGTCTGGACAAATATCCGTAACATCGCCCACTTTAATATAAGCTGAAAAAAATTTCATCGAAACTGAAAGTATATTGGGTTTTGTTTTTAAACGCGATTTATAGTTCCTATTGTTGTTTTCCTAATTTTATTTCAACTTTTTATTCTCATGTTTTTAGTCGGTCGCATTTTTTAGCTCAGTGGAAGTTGATACATGCATCCGTAAAGAAGCTAAAGATGACTGCATTTCTCCATCAAACCCTGATGGTATTCAAACTGCCTATGGAATACCGCCAGGTCAATCGTTAACAATGCAAGAAATTCTCAGTCGGACTGGAGGATCTATGAACTTGAAATCGAGCTGAACATTTAGAACTTTCAGATTACTTTTATGCATTTGTGAATAGAAATTATTCAAACTGATACGTTTATAAATATATTCTTTTACATTTTCTAATTTTTTAAGTTACCCATCTGTAATATGTTTTAGGGAGATTCACGTAGATAGAGAAACCTGTACAAATATTCTTAACTAAGAAAGATAGTAAGTAAGTGTTGTGAATTTCCCCCTCAGTAAGTCGAAAACAAAACGATCAAGTGATTCTTCAACAAATGAACTACATACCCAAGTTATGCGTCGAATCAAAAACGTAGGATTTATCCGAAATAAAGTACTGTCATCATACTCACCAATGACCAATAAATTAGAAACTTTAGGTCATGAGGTGTATATGAGTTTATCCCTATCAAAAGTATTTCAAAGGAATTTTGTCAACAATATAAGCAGCAAAAAGTATGTCTAAAACAAACCAGAGGAAAATATGAGAAACATGAATCTCCAGGGCAAGGTAAAAAGCGTGGTACGAATAAATTCTCAAGGGAAGATATATCACCGCAGAAATAACTAAAGGGAGCACAAAATAATCATAAAGGGGGGAAAATATCGATATGCTTGGATTTTAAATGACAAAATATATCCATAGCTGAAATGAACAACTGACGTCTTGAATATGATAACATTGTGGCAGAACATGAGACTACTAATTATTAGTAAGTAGCACAGAGTTTTTGCATAAAAGGGTACGAGTGTAAATACAGGACAAGAAAAAGGTAGAACCGTGGGGTGACGTTGTCCTTGGGAGAATAGCAAATGACCTGGTAGCAGCCAACGGTGTTCAAGGGTGGGGGTGTTTTCGTTCTTCAGAGCTTTTATTCTTGAAAGGACGTTGGTGATAATAGCTTGTGGTGAATTTGGATGAGATAGTTTCATATCTAACGGATGATGGACTAGTAAGAGACAGTACGTGATGTGGTTGTGATGGGATCACGCTGCAATCCCTATGCAGTTCCATGAGGAATGGAGTTACACTACGGTGCACAACATGTTGGAGCTACGAATCTATTTTCATTAGTTCCTTTTTTTGCGAAATCTAATTTATCAATGCGACAAATTATGCTGTCTGATGTACAGTGAATAATTGGTATACCAGTTACAAGCACAGCAGCTTTAATGAATGTGACAGACATGATATCTGTACAATGGTATCAGCATTTAATGGGCATTTATTCTCAAACTGTTTGTGAGATAACATTTTTCTTCGGCGATCAGGGCGAAATAATCGAGATGGGTGAAACTGGTACCAAAAAAGAGGTGGTATAAGAAATGTAAAAAGAGAATGATACGGTTATTTATTCCCTTCATATTCGCAGGTTTTCGGGATAGGGCATTGGAATCGTCTGAAGGCTTATTTACGTCCACACGATGGCTCACGTGGATTAACACTCCGGAGTAAAATGGACGGATATCCGTATCATGTCTATTTCGATTTTAGGCTATAATAACCTGTCGAAAACCTCCGTAAGTTTCTCAGTCGCCTAAAAAAGGCCATATTTAATATAATTCTTTTATTTCTTGATTAATAAATCATGAAATAAGCTTCCTTATTCTAGGTAATTAGGTATTCAACCGACGACGGCAGTATTTTGTAGTCCTACCAAGAAAATTTTAATGCAGTAAGGAGAGAATTATTATCAATATGCCTTTCTCTAATGCATATGCTAGTAAGATACAGAAATGGCACAGTTTACTCATACCACAATCATATCTAATGGTTGACAACAGCTCCTAAAACTTCGTTCGTTTCCCTTTTCCCGGGAAGCGAAGCTGCTGAATGAACACTAATTTAACATTAAACTTAACCTACATTGTTTGTATGCGATGTAAAATTTTCTTTTATTCAGGCTGGAGATTGTCACTATCTGGGATAAAGAAGAGATGGTTGACAAGATCACAAAAGATTTTCTCAGCACTAAATGTAATAATCATATGTAATTATGATGTGAACCTGTAAATTCAAGAATAAGTATTATCATTGTTACACTAAGTTTCGGGACGTCAAGCAGGTGGCGTAAACAAACGTGAGGGCATAGCGCTTAAGCTACAACTTTGGCTCGTGATTCTATGCCATCAGCTCATAGCCAGCACCTTCAAGGAAAGAAAATCACATAGTTTGCCATGCACCAAATCTGCTACCCTCTGTTTCGTACTCCTTGTGTTGACTGCTTTGCACTTTGTAGGTATTGTATCTTATGTTTTCTAATGGTTGACTGGCCGCTCTTACACTGAAGTTTTCAGTAGTTTTCGCATTTTGTAATGTACGAATAAAGCAGTGATCTTCTTAATAGCACTTAATATCCGTCTTTCATAGCATGTACTGTTGAGTCCCACTGTATGCTGTATTCCCGGTCACATTAGACGTTCTAAAAGCACCAGCCTTCTGGGACCACCAGCAGTGCTGGCCATAGCACTTATTTGGCCTTTAAATCCTTTTATCCAACTCAAGTAGATACCCTAAGAGTGTTGTGGTCACGGTCACCAGAGATCATGATAATAATAATATACATTTTCATACAATATAAGTTAAGCGAAAACAAACGGGTTTACAGGTATGATCACTTTGGCAATATGAAATCACCGTTATGCACAATGATATACGATATCTTGTACATCGTTCTTTAAAGAATACAGGAGATGAACTCAAAGAAAACTTTCATGTTTGCGGACAACAAAGAATAAAATAGATACACACCAAAATAGTCTTTCAACAAAGCAAAGCTAGTTCAGTTCGAAATTAGTAATTATCCAGCCATTGTTTGAACCAGCTAGTTTCCCTGAATGTTGGGCGGGCGGTATATTGGTGACCTTGGATTTTGTGCATTCCTCATATAATTGAGAGACTGACCAGTTAGGCCTGAAGAATGGATAAGGAGAGTCAGCAGCAGCTGAAACTCAAAATAATGCACAAAAATACTGCGTGGAACTACATCAACCATATACATATGTGGGTGGGCAAGTTGTACTGGCTACAAAAGTTACTTCATGCAGTACCTTAAACCAATTGTTTAAAGATCAGCTGATAGAGAAGATGAAGTTACATATGGACATTATGAAAACGAAGCTTAAGAGGAAGATATCATGACTGAACATAGAAAAGGGAGGATGTGGAACTAGGTGTGCGTACATGTGCAGAAGTCTACTGTTCAAAAGTTAAACGAAGTCACAAACACTGAAGTAAAACGCATGCGGTTTGCTAGAGACGCGAATACCCTTTATATAGTCATGGGTAGAGGAAGAACCATGGTGTTGTCTGTTGGGCATTATCATGTCAAGGCTATATAGGCAACGTGATGGGGCAGAGTGAGCTGGGGTAGTAGACATTGAAAATTCATTTTTTCAAAGGTCTCATTTTTATATTCTACCGTTTTATGGTCATTTGGCTATGTTTTACAATCCATAGCCGTCACGGTTGTGCAAAATTGCCCTAGTTTGAGGAAACGGTCTTAGAGCAAAATAGCCTGTTGCAATTAACTTTCAGCAAACGATATTAAGATTTCGCTCGTATGAAGTGGTAGCTCTCAATATACATCCCAAGATATCTATATGTTGCCTCTCGTTCTTTTTTTAAACAGGTGCAACGTTTAACATTGACAGAGAATCCTCAGTTCAAAAAATAGAGGATATCAGGCAACTGGTCTACAACATATGTGCATGCATTGTTCCGTCACTCTCGAAACCAAAATTGTGAAGCTTGGGTGCCAACAAAGAATTCAGAATCAAAAAAGTAAAGCCGCTGCCATTGTTACTTATTAAAAAACAGTCGGTTGAATCATTTCACACAAAGTTTGACTTGTCACTTGTTAGTCAGTGAAGCTGTTAGTGACCCAAAGCACCTAACCTCATTAGCTACGCACCTAGAGTTTCCTGACTCAATGGATAGTTCCTAAATTCTTCCAGACATGTTTGTAAAGAAGCTATTAGAACTAATACTATATTAACTTGACAGACGCAAAGCGCAACCACTAAATATTTGTACTTGTTGTATACCTACGAGTGTGAGTCCGCGAAAGAACACAAAAGAGAGCCCGAGAGGAAAAATATATTTAATAGCCCGCACCAAAATACCAGTACTTTCCGACTAACTATCTGGAGGATCATGTACAAGTAAAGCAACGTAACACGACGACGTACCGGATGCAGTGGATGTTAAGCCATATGCCTTCAGCCTAACAGTTCCGTTTAAAATAGGAAGATTAGCATCAACGTTGAACCTTGTCGAACCCTGGGCCGTTGGTTATAGGGAATTATTTGCCACTACAAATCTATCACAGATGCATATTAATAAGGTGAAACCACACCTACTGTGCATTCTCTTAACAGAACTTTATCGTTCATTGGGAACCTGGGAAAAGCGTGTTCACAGGTACGCCAAGACACAACGAATGCTAAAGACAGGCTCAATCCACTTAGGACGATGAAGCGGCCTTTCTTCAACGAATTCGCAGCTCCAGTAACTTGAGTCCACGTCAAAAGTGCAGGCATGTTTGAGAAAACTGGAATTTTCCGGTCACGTATTTTCCAGATGCAGAGCAGCATCTCTTTGAAGGAAGAGGAAATAAAGCAGGGCCCACTAGAAAACGTGCAGGACATAAGGGAAGTGGAGCGCCTAACTATGGGAAGAATGGGAAAAGGATATGAAGTTTGTGGAACGGAGGAAATAAAAATCCAGGATGAAAATACGAACTGGTGCGTGTTTAGTAAAGAATCACTACAGTACGGCTCAGCAAAATGGGGTTGAATAACCTTGTAAGTTCATTTCGTGTCTAGCGAATAGCTGTTCAATTCTAAGAAGGCGCCGGCTATTTAAGAATGTCACAAGCAAGTTTTTCAATGAATCCAATGCATTCCACCAGCCAAGCTTCTACCGTTCAGGCAGGTCGTGATTAACCATGGAGCGAATGAAGTTTGTGATCAAAATCATTGGTAATTACAATAACCAAGTAAAGTCCATTCCGAATAATAATAATGGTTTTCTATTGGGTCTGGAAAGTATAAGGAATTATCGGTTAACCCCTTGTGGACGTTGCAAGATTTGCAAAATCTTTTCCCGCCAAACTCGG